GTATCAACTACTTCGTTTTTTACTTTAACTTTACAACTAAATTTAAATCTAAAAACTTTAAAGTTTCTTCATGATTTCGTTTAATTTATTTTGTGATTCATAGAAAGGATGATTCATATTTATACTATACTCTAATTTATTTAGATATTTTTTATTAAATTTTAGTGCAAAACTTATTAATATGTCACATAAAACTGAAAATTAGCGGTTAATAGTAAATTATTTTAAATTTACGCAGCCAAAGGCTGAATATCTGATTAAAGACTGATATAAAATATCAATAATATAAAAATAAAATGCAAAATTTGTTTGTAAGCGCATAACTCAACAACGCCTACACCAATTTGGCCAATTCTTTTTTAAAAATGTTTGTTAAAGTCCAAAGATAGATTTTAAGGCGAGAAAAATTCAAATAATTGCCGGGAAAACACTAAAAACAGCCCTTTTCTATAGGATAAAAGTTGGCATTGAGATTCAATCATAGTTATAGGTAAATAGTTGAATCCGAGATGACGCGCTGAAGTGCATTATTAGCAATTCTTTAAATAATTAATTTCTTTAAAATAAAATTGCGAATCTTAATGATAGAATTGACCCATACTCTGTCTAGTCTAGAAGAAGAGAGTAACAACGAATTATATTTTTATTAAACACTACCGCGACGATTTCAATTCAAATAATGAATTTTCAAGTTCTAAAACTCAAAAAACTGTTAAATCTTACCATTTTTAACAATAAAACTCATTTTACGTCAAAATAAATTTTTTAATTTGATGTTTTCTCCTTTCGTTGTCGCACCTAAAGAGATTTCCGTGAATTTGGTTCGCTTCCAAAAGGAATTTATCATAAAGTTGTGAAAGATGAAAGTTTCCGCCATCGATTCCAAAAATGGCGCAGTGCCTCACCCTTTCATCACCATTTATAAAATTTTACCACCGTTATACAGTTAATTTTATTAGTATAAGTTGACTCAAATTGCAAGCAAGACTAGATCAACTAGAGCACGATGCACAAGCAATAGATGCACTCGTGCGTCCACCGCCGCTCATGATAATAATTAACATGAAAATTAGTGACTGTATCCAATGCGCCTCTTCTCTATAAACTGCATTTGCTGTGCACTCTACCGCACAGCTAGTTAGTCGACACGCTGCTATTAAATTAATAACTCATTTAAATATTTCATTCATACACGCACCGCTTTCATTCACATCTATCAACATAATCAACATAAAGAATTATAAAGGCATCAAGTATGGCAAGTTATTCAAAGTTATTCTTATGCTTGTCAGTCATTTTGTTGTGGGACTACTCACCAGTTAGTGGCAGTAGTTAAAGTATAGTGATACAACATTAACGTATTCATTCTGTACCGGTTGAAATATTACCGATTACCAAATGCGTGTGATGGACGACGTGCGGTGCCGGCGCTTTCGGCAATGCGAGGAAAACGAAAGTGGTTGTACGATGGGAATGCGAAGCATGCGTCTAGATGGGACGCAGTTTCGAGGTTAATTTGCATCCGCGCGCTAATTGGTGAAGGTAGAGAAACGGAAAGAGGCGAAACAAAAGCATACGATCGGTGTTGGTTTTAGTGCGCCGAGCGTGATGTTATTAGCGCTTGATTTATGATCATCGAAATACCGAGCGCGCGGGCTTTTTATGTTTTTATAGTTGTTCATATCGGAGTCATTATGTTGATATAATTGGTATAATTAAAAGTATTACATATTATATTCATGCATTATTAAATTTATGAATAGATAGAAATTGTTTGGAAGTTTTAAGTTTTAAAGTGGTAATAATACTTGTTTTTCACTTAAAATCAAAATTGCAACTTTGGTTATTTTAAGTTGACAAAGAACGAAGAATCTAAAATCTTACATTTGTCTTATTGCAGAAAAAAAGCAAAACATATATTTTGCGCTTTGAAATACATTTTTAAATTCTAATTAAGAATTTTATTGGCGAACTCGATTCGTAATTAGTAAAAATTAATTATTAAATCTTATTTTTATTAATATCTCGGCGCATCAAGTCAAAAACAAAAAAAATATTTACTTGTTTTTGTGCACTGTTGGTTGCCTATACTACAATACCTATAATGAACTTGAAAACAGTAAATCACGATTTCTGTTTTTATTTTCTTGTTTTCTTGCAAATATTGTACTCATTTAGCTTCCCTCCTAGTTACTCTAATAGCAGCCACGATAGGTACATGAGCACAGACCTTGTACAACAAATTACATCCATGCTAGTGTTCAAATGATCTACTCTACAATAAGGATGAGGAAATACTTAGTGCGCGTGCGTTCGTTGATGGTGCATTTGCTAACAACAGTAATAATTTTAATTCGGCATCATTTTGATAGATACATACTAAGATACTCGTTTCATACATATATTTACTATAGTTAGGTTAATCCAACTTGATTCGAAAGTCGAAATAAAGAAGATGCTTCAGTTTAAATTGCGATGTTGTCATACATAACCTTATTTAGTAATCATAAAAGATAACATGGCAACATTGCAATTTGCATTAAAACTCCAAGAAAATAAGTAGTGAACTTCGAACGACCTTTACATAACAGATATTATTTATAATAAACTTAAAAACACAGCTGACTACTATTAATCCAAGTACCAATAAAATTATGATTTTAATGATTGACTCATCGGTTTTATGTGAAATTATTATCTTTTAAAATACTGTTACTCATGATTAACAAATTTGCATTACTTCTTAAATTAAGAAAATAATAGATGAGAACACGACTTTTACTCTTAGTTACGAGTTAGCATTAAATAAATGCACTGTTGAAACTTTGGTACGGTCGCAATAAGAAATGATCTAAGCATGTAACATTGATTTAAGCGTGTTTTATTATCGTTTCACCACTTTGCTTGCAGATGGTTCTATTGTATTCCAAAGCGTCACAGTTACCACACGACTAATTAAAGTTATTATAATTTGCTGACGCTATTTTTAAATTATGAACAAACTGAAACATTTACACTGCATTTCAAACCGGCAAATATGTCCGAGATGGTTCAAATATACCGAGTGTTGTCTACAATATAAAAATGAATCGCAAAATTTGTTGGTAAGCGCATAACTCAACAACGCTTAGACCTATTTGGCCAATTCTTTTTTTTTAATGATCGTTAAAGTCCAAGGATGGTTTTTACAGCGAAAAAAAATTGAATAATTGCCGGGAAAGCCCTGAAGATAGCCTTTTTCTATAGGATAAAAGTTGGCATTGAGATTCAATAATAGTTATAGTTAAATAGTTGAAGCCGAGATGGCGCGCTGAAGTGCATTATTAGCAATTCTTGATATAATTAATTTCTTTAAAATAAAATTGCGAATCTTATTGATAGAATTGACACATACTATGTCTAGAACAAGAGAGTAGAAACAAATTACATTTTTATTAAACACTACGGAGACGGAGTCGCGGGCAAATGCTAGTTTGTTTGTAAATTTGTAAATTTGACACAAGACGTGTTGTGTGACTGTGACGAGTTCTTCCCGACACTTGTATAGTTGTATGACAAATGGTAATTTTTAATTAAGTCCGTTTTCCAGTCCAGTTGCTTCAACAGCAGGTTAATGGAATAACTTAATGTGCCAACCAGCACATAAATCATTGTTTACGAATATGTATTAAAGAGTTATACTTACCGCATGACATAACCCAGGAGACAAGCAGACATTATTCAGAATTTTAATTGAACTAAATGACCAAATGGTGTTGCACAAGCATGCAAATTTACCAACGTAAAGTTTCTAAATTAAAATCAACACAAGTCTAGCATTACACAATTTGTATCGTACGACTAAACTTGAATTGAAATTTTTAACCATACGAGTAAAATCAGCGTTATTAACATTCAAGTCGGCGCTTTTATCGTTTTTATTTAGTAATTTTAATTAATTCATAGGTATAATAAAAATAAACTAAGCGTAAATAACGTATATGTGTAATCAGATAAAAGTTAATTACGTTTTGCAGAAAAATACTAATATTAACTTTGTTTAGACATTGGTTGCCATCTAGAGATTAAAAGTTGAACTTAAATGTTTTCAAAGGTTACGTGAAGGTTGAGCTATTATTAAAACAATTTTACGACGTGTACAACGGCGCCGTGGCTTAGTTGGTTAAAGCGCCTGTCTAGTAAACAGGAGATCGGGAGTTCGAATCTCCCCGGGGCCTAGAAGCGAAGGTGTGGCTTCATCTTTTTCTTCTTTAATTTCAACTTTTTATTGATGTACGTATCTGAAATAAACAAGAAATTTATGATAATTGTTATCACATTTGTTTTGAAATGAAGTTTTTGCTCAAACTATTGCGAATCTATAGTAAATTATGTTCGTGAAGTACATATGCACAAAGTTGTTTAAAAAAATTAAAATAAAATAAAAGCTTATTGTCCAAGTAGTCATTACTATTTAAATAAGGGGAATAGTTGAATAAGGGTTGAAGTTAAAGTTGCTTGACCTTCTCGCGCAACTTAGCTCAAAACAAATAACGTTTGTATTCAGTGAACACTAAGAACACAATGTGAAAAACTTTATAATCAATTTGTTCTATTAAATGCATTGAAATTGTCCAGAAAATTAAAAACATCAGAAAGGAGTATTTTTATGTGCGTAAAACTTATCAGGAATGCCAAAAAGATTGTACTATTCTGAAGAATGTTGCTCGTCACTAAAATGTCCAGTTGGAACGCGACCAGGACAAACTACACGCGAATAATTTGTCCATTAAAGTAGCATAAAATTTTAAAAAAAGTACGATGAGTTGTCGACAGCGTTGTCCAATGCAGTCAACTCGGACGTGGCTTACTTAGTAGGGCAGGGTTAATATTCACCCAGTTTTGAACTCTTATCAGGAGATAATCAGCGAAAAAGAAGAAATTATCGAAAACTATTAAGCTGAAATGTGTTTGATTCTGGCAAGTTAAAAAAGGAAATGCTCCAAGAGAATGAAACATTCCATTTTACGTTGAATGAAGATACTGAATTTCAAAGCTAGTACAGAAATCTCTACACTACAGGAGAAGAATAAATCGTTGATTCAGGCTTATGATCATTTTATAAATACACGTTTATAGTTTATTCCAGTGTCAGGGCATACGTCAAGTGTTAATGAAAGCACAACGTAAGTTCAGTGATTAAATATTATTTTTAATCGTAAAATAAAGTTATATGTTTAATGTACCCCTTTAATTTGTAGGTGGCATGAAGAGAGAAAACCGAACAATATAAAACCGAAATAATCTACAAGTTCACAAATCTGTAACCAAATTTTTGAAACTAGAGCCTGAAACAGCTACAAAAGGCAAAGAATTTCGCTATGAATGCGATCAATGAGTAGGAGACGCTCCTGAAAGCACTCAATCAGCGGGATATGGAATACAAAGCAGTGAAACGTTTAACAACAATACTGCTCACCGGATGGATGTATTGCGCAATCAACTGAAGGTATTTTAACACAGCATGTTTGTTCGTTCGTACGTTGTGTTTGTAATTTTAGCATGTATTTTTATCAGCAAAAATTAACAGTAATTCATGAATATTGGCTTGGACTTATAAAAAAAACATAAATATTTGTTCAAGTAGGAGGTGATAATTGTCATATTACAATAATACATTAAAATAGCAGGCTTGACAAACTTTGCATCGCCATTTTTTTGTGAATATTTTCAAACGTTCTGAGAAACTTCTTTTTTTATTTATGCCTGCCTCGGCTTCACATGGTTGTGGTTCTGGTAAATTCACTTTCAGCATAGTGAGCAACCATTCTTTCAGCCAAACTTTAACATTTGCACCCCGTGATTAAAGTCTATAACTAAAGAACTTTAGTCACGGCCTTCGCCGCCCGTGGTTAAAGTACCGCTTTGGTGCAGTCGTTCTTACAATGTTCTGATCGAATCAAAAAACTAATATAAAGGTAACTAAATAGTAGTAAAAATATATTGTTGGTAATTACAAAGAACGCTAAACATTTCGAAAAAACTGGATAAAAACATATTTCTTAAATTCTATTTTCAAGTATATAAGTATTTCAAATGAATTTCCATAGTTATTATATTACTTCAACACAAATTATTAGACGTTTTACATTTTCCACGAAATAGATAACAAATTATCTACACCCAATAATGACAAAACAATTGTAATCATAAAATGGCAACCTAAAAAAGATCAATTTAAATAGACACGACTTTGTGATATCATTGTGGCAATCAGTTGAATGCTAAATTCACTCTTAGATAAAGCCGCAAAATATTTTGGTACAATGAACTTCATTTGTCAATTTTAGTTTTGAATTTGACATAAGCAACAATACAATTATCATGTTAATTTATGTTTGCAATTGTTGCAATAATTAATCATCATGATTAATGAAATAACAAATTTTGTTTCAGGCAGTTCGGAATACCTAATGCATACAAGAACAGAAGTCGATTATTTTGTCGATAAAAGAAGAACACGAACAGAAAATCGAAAAATTAAAAATTTAATTGAAAGCAAATGAATATAAAAATACTAATGTATGCTTCCCACATTGCTTAATGGTTTAAAAAATGTATTAATAAAATATTAAATTTAATTTTTACTGTTTCACTGTTTTGTATATTTTAATATTTTGAATATTAAATAAAACACAAATTTAAAGAAGGATTTATAGGCACTCCTCTTTATTACATTTGCTAAAATGTGTTTGATAACACAGTATAATGATATTGATACAATTTGCGGAGTGTAAAATAGTCATGTGGAATTTGCAATCGTAAAAGAGCGGCGTTTGGTTGCGCCTTTATTGTTAATAACCAATAAAGTAATTATACGAATAATTTCCAAAGCGTATTTTTTTACATAAGCGATAAGGCGACACGTTAGCGTGTATATATATAAATGCCAAATGACGCGCATATAATACATTTCCATTTTTCGTGTATCGGTAGAAGGTCCGTTTCAAAAACTTAACACAAGACGCATAATTCACGCAAACATGTTGATATCAGGTAAACACATAAAATTTACACATTCAAATGATCAATAACTAAATGTTCCCCAAAAATACATTGATAAATAATGGTTATAAGAAGTATAAATTTTTGTCTTTTTTCGTTTTTTAGAGCGGAAGCGCTTTTTCCTAATGGCGCTGGTGTGGAACTGGATTCTGGGATGGTTTCAATGGAACGTGTTGGCTCAGGTGCAGCGCGACTGTGACTACAAGTATACTCTGAAATTTGGCGACCAGCAAATTTTGCAAAATCCCGGTTTTGATCAGGGCATGTACTATGCACGGAATAAAGTATGCAGATGGGCCTACAGCAGTCCACCGGGTACCGTTTTTGATGTCACTTGCAATCCAATTGATATGCCCGGTTCGGAATCCGGCAACAATCAGTGTCAGTATGATCGTCTTGTGGTGAGTCTGACTGGTAACCCGACAATGACAGACGGGCGAAACTTTTGCGGACAAAATCAACAACCAATTAAACTACAATCAGTTTCTAATGCTCTTACAATCGGTAGGTATATTTTTATAATAATATCATGTGATGTATTTTTTGGGTGTTCATATTAATATATTAATATCTAGTAGCTTTTTAACGACCTTCATATTATGATAACATACCTATCTGTGCATATTGTGCATGAGTTATAATAGTAATTTTGTTTACAGGTTTGGTGACTGATCCACGTTCACCTGGTGGTCGCTATCGGTGTATTATCACACCAATTGTAAGAGGTGGTGTCCCTCCTACTACTACTACCACCACAACTACTACAGCTAGACCCAATACTTGTGATTGTGGGTGGCGTCAACAGGTAAATAATCTATAATATAAAAATGAATCGCAAAATGTGTTGGTAAGCGCATAACTCAAGGCGTTGTTCTTGACAAATCTGGCAAATTCCCTTTTTAAATGTTTATTAAAGTCTAAGGATGGTTTTCACAACGAGAAAAGCCTTTTTCTATAGAATAAAAGTTGGCACTAAGATTCAATCATAGTTTTAGTTAAATAGTTGAATCCGAGATGGCGCGGTGAAGTGCATTATTAGCAATTCTTAATATAATTAATTTCTTTAAAATAAAATTGCGAATCTTATTGATATAATTGACACATACTATGTCTAGAACAAGAGGGTACAAACAAATTGCATTTTTTTAAAAACTACCAGGACGAAGTCGCGGGCAAAAGCTAGTATAATATATTTTTTAAAGTTTTTAACTTTAATAACTTTTTCTTTATACAGAGGCGCATTGTGGGTGGAACGGAAACAAAGGTAAACGAATATGTTTTCATGGCAGCCATGATTGATATGGATAGAAAAATCCTCTGGTGTGGAGCCACAATTATTTCCACTCGCTATGCAGTTACGGCCGCTCATTGTATCGTACAGAGGGCTTCTACTAATTATGGACTTTTGGTTGGTGATCATAGCTTATCACGTAAGAAAATTTATTTACTTGTATTTTGTCCAAATATACGCTAATTACAATTTGTTACTGAAGAGGGTCAAGAAACACAATCAGCTAAACTGCATTTAATAGAAGATTTCAATGTGCATGAAAGTTATAACTCAAGGACTCAAGAAAATGACATTGCAATCATACGAACAACTACGCCTATTGAGTTTAACATGAATGTTGGACCTATTTGTCTGCCGTATCGTTATACCAATGTGGATTTTTCTGGAGCAGTGGTGACTGCTTTGGGTAAAAATATTTTAATTTTATTTATTTCTTAATATAAATAAATATGGTTAAATTCGTTGATATTTTTTAGGCTGGGGAAGCGTATACTATACAGGTCCAACTTCTGACACTCTGCAGGCGGTCAACCTTACTATCGTCAACAAACAGAGATGTCAGAGTGCGTACACTGAACCGAACCAAATCATCTTCAATACACAAATATGCAGCTACCAAACGGGCAAGGACTCTTGTACTTTTGATTCGGGCGGTCCGCTTGCATGGTTCGACAACTTCAATACCTTCCGATTCCAACTCCTCGGCGTTATTTCTTATGGCCAGGCTTGCGCCACGGATGCACCGGCGGTAAACACCAGAGTTCCTAGCTATGTTTCTTGGATTCTGAATGAGACACCAGGTACGATTTTAAAACAGTAATATTTTCATATTTTGAATTTTTCTTTGTTTTAGACGCGTCCTATTGCTTTAAATAAACTGCTGTACTAGCAGTAAAATATCGAATGTATATTTGAGTTACAAATATAATATTTTAATTTGATACTTGGGAGTATAGCTTAAATATGCGTATACTGGGTTGCCTATAATACGTAGCTAATTTTTAAATAAGCGTAATATACCCAAAGGGTGAAAATGATTAAATTTTGGCTTAAATAATAAGGGGAATACTTGAATGAGGGTTAAAGTTAAAGTTCCTTGACCCTCTCACGCAACTTGCTTCCCACATGTGTAACCATAGCAACACTAGCTCAAAACAAACAACGTTTGTATTCAGTGTTCATCCCTGCATTGTTTACTCACCTCGACAACCTTCCGCAACAAAACAAGCGCGGTTTCTATAACAATGTGCCAAATTTGAAGCGTCTCTGTGTCATTACTGTGATAACATCTCGCCTTACCGAGTTACGGAGTGCGTATTGATTGTGTCCCAAGTGTTAAGTCGATATCTTAACTCCGACGCTTCCGACTCAAACGACGACCAAACGTAGTACAATAGTAAGTATCTGCAGTAAGTCATCCGTATACTATCAGTGTGCATATCAAACCATCGGCCTAATTGAAGTGTAACATCGAATCGATCAAATAATAATTTCCAGCCTCTAAATCAATAAATACACAACCATGACATTCACAATCATTGGGGGAGGAAAGGATGCTTCCGTTTTTCAGAATTATCGAAGACAAAAGCACTACGAATGATATGAATATGCATCCTTCAAAACCAAGAAGGAGTCGGAAGGAAGCCGTGACAGTTCCGGTGCATCATACAAAAACTGAGCGTTCCGAACGATCAGCACGCACGGAGAAGTGTGAAAAACATGAGAATGAAAAATCTGAATCAAATCGGAAGACTTTCTCAGCTAATTTCAATGGCGTCCAGATGGAAAATGATCAGGACTTTGAGAAACGAATCAGTCGACGTTACCTAATCAAAGAACTAGAGAAGTACAAAAGTGGTTACAATAACTTACAAGAAAACTACGACCATCTGAACAGGAAAAATAGCAAATTGAAAGAAAAACTTACTCAGTTAGTACAATACAATCAAAGTACAACTGATGAGAACCAAACACTAAAAATACAATATGAAGAACTTTATAATCAATTTATATCTATGAAAACTCTATTGGAAGAACCAAAAGTTTGTCAGACTTGCATTGAAATGGACCAGAATATTGAAACCATCAAAAAAGAATATTCGTATCTACGTAAAACTAGTCAGGAATGCCAAGAGGACTGTAACATGTTGAAGAATGTTGTTTATCGTCTAAACGTGCAGTTGGAACGCTACCAGGACAAACTACGCGCGCATAATTTGCCCATTAAAGAGCAGCATAAAATTCAGAAAGAGTACGACGAGCCGTCGACTGCGTCGTCGAATGCGGTCAACGCGGGCGAGGCTCACGCGGGTCACAATCATGATCCTATTCAGTGGGGCAGGGTTAATACTCACACTTTGGCACCACTTTTGAACGCTTACCAGGAAATTATAAGTGAAAAAGAGGAAATTATTGAGAATTACGAAGCTGAAATGGGTTTGTTTACTGGTAAATTAAAGGAAATACTGAAAGAGAATGAAACATTGCATTTTAAGTTGAATAAAGATACAGAATGCAGTAAAGTATTGATTACTGAGTTAGATTCTCTTAAAGTGGAGCTGAAGAGTGCAAGAGAACAAAATGATTTGTTGATTAAAAAATGTGCATTGAAACAGGATAAGATTGAAGAGATTTTAAAGTGTTACGAACAAAAGATTGATATGATGAAAAGAGACTACTCTGTGTTGCATGAAACCTATTTAAAAGCAAGAGCCGAAATTACTACGCTGAAAGAGAAGAATAAATCGTTGATTGAGGCTCATGATGATTTTAAAAATGAACGTTCACAGTTTATTCCAGTGTCAGTGCATACGTCAAGTGTTAATGAGTGTAAAAAGTAAGTTTTTAGGTTAGATATTACTTTAGGTTAAATTGAGGTTAAGTGTCTTTTGATTTGTAGGTGGTATGAAGAGTTAAAGCAGCAATATGAGACCGAAAAAATAAAATTAGAGAAATTTATAGATGAATTAAAATTACAAATTAAAGAATTATCAGCTAAAGTGGAAATATTAAACTTGGAAAAACAATCGTTGGAAAACAAGTTGAAAACTAACGACAAACTCAACAAGTAAAATTAATTCATAAATATTTTTCATATTTTTAAATATTTATATAAAGTGTGTATGTGTTTGTAGAAAATCTGAAACAAAATTTTTGGAACTTGAGCACAGTCTGCATGAAGTACAATTATCTCGAAGCGCTTGTCGGAAGCAGCTTCACAAGGCAATGAATTTCGCCAAGGATCTGGTCAATGAACAAGAGACGCTTCTGAAAGCACTCAATCAGCGGCACATGGAAAACAAAGCTGTGAAACGTTTCGGCACCGATATTGCTAGCCGGATGGATGTACTGCGCAATCAATTGAAGGTATGTGAACGCGGAATGTATGTTCGTTTGTTGTGTTTATACTTTTAATGTGTTTTTTATCAGTACAAATTAACCGTAATTCATGAATATTGACTTGGACTTATAAAGAAAACATAAATATTTGTTCAAGTAAAAGGCGATAACTAAACAAAACATAGGAAACAAGCACAACGACTATATGCAACCAAACAAACAAAAACAATAATTAATTGTAAATTTTAATCGAAGCAGTTTATTTTGCAATTTTTACAATATTTAACCATTGTTATTAATTTCAGGCAGTTCAGAAAGACGCCTGGCAAGAATTGTCGACAGTGGAAGAGCGCATACAAGAACAGGATTCGATTATTTTGTCGATGAAAGAAGAACACGAACAGGAAATCGAAAAACTTAAAAATCTAATTAAAGAAAAAGGATGAATATAAAATTACTAATCTATACTCCCACCATCGCAATCACTTCCAAGGGCTTCATTAAATTCATAAAATAAGTTTGTTTAATTTTTACTGTTTCTCTGTTATGTACAAAAATCATTCGAATATTAAATAAAATATGAATTTAAATAAGGATTTATAGGCATCCTTCTTTATTGCATTTGTTAAAATTGTGTTAGCACAGGATAATGATATTGATATGTGTGTAGAAGTGTGTGTGTGAAGTAGAAACAATAGCGTAGAAATCACGTGGCTAAACGTTGTTAAAAGCCTTCGTTTTGCCACTTGATACTTGATTCACTATTAAATGTTAATATTTTTTTGAATTTTACGTTGGGCAAAAGTAGGTGAAACGGAAACAAAAATAAATGAGTAGGCAGCTACCACCACCACAACTACAACTGCCGGAACCAATCCTTGTGATTACGGATGGCGTCAAAAATTAAATAATAATATATTTTTATAGTTTTTAATTTCTCAAATTTTATTGCAGAGTGCAGAGGCGTCATGTAGGCGAGATGGAAACAAAGGTAAATGAGTAGGTTGCGCTTTTATTGTTAATAACCAATAAAATATTTATGTATAAATATATAAACACTAAATTTTGCGTTTTTGTTACATTTTAATTTTTTTTGTGAATCGGTAGATTGTCCGTTTTAAAAAGTTAAAGCAAGACGCATAATTTAGGCAAACATGATGATATCAGGTAAACACATAAAATTTACGCATTTAAATAATCAATAACTAATTGTGGTCCATAAATCCATTAATAAATTATGATTATAAGAAGTATAACTTTTGTCATTTTTCGTTCTTAGAGCGGAGGCGCTTTTTCATAATGGCGCTGGTGTGGAACTGTGTTTTGGTATGGTTTCAATCGAACGTGTTGGCAATGGTGCACCATGAATGTAACTACAAGTATTTTATTAAATTTGGAGGCCGACATATTTTGAAAACCCCTGCCTTTAATCAGAGCATGCATTATCCTCGGCATAAAGTTTGCAAATGGGCTTACAGTAGTCTACCGGGTACCTTTTTTGAGGTCACTTGCAATGCAATTGATAAGCCTAGATCGAAATACAGCAAGAGTCAATGTCTGTATGATCGTCTTGTGGTGAGTCCGACTGGAGATTCAAAATTCTCAGACGGGCGAACCTATTGTGCACAAACTCGACAACCAATTAAACTACAATCGGTTTCAAATGCGCTTACAATCGGTACTCGTACTCGAATATTCGCGTATTATGAGATATTACTTCCTTGGGTTGCAAAATGTGTATGTATTATAATTATAATTTTATTTACATGTTTGGTCCCTAACCCACGTTGGCCTGGTGGTCGCTATCGATGCATTATCACTACCAAAGCATTCCCAATTGCCAGACGTGATACCAATCCCGGTTGTGATTGCGGAAGAATTCAACTAGTAAATTAGAATATAATATATTTTTTAACCTTTTTAATTTAATAAATTTTTCTTTGTACAGAGGCGCATTGTGGGTGGAACGGAAACAGGGATAAATGAGTATGTTTTCATGGCATCCCTGATTGATTTGGTAAAAAAAATCCACTGGTGTGGCGCATCTATTATTTCCACTCGCTATGCTCTTACTGCCGCTCATTGTATAATACTGCGAAAAAATCCCTTAGGACTTTTGGTTGGTGACCATAACCACAAAGGTACAATAAAAATGAATTGCAAAATCTGTTGGTAAGCGCATAACTCAACAACGCCTAGACCAATTTGGCTAATTCTTTTTTGAAATGTTTGTTAATGTCCATGGATGGTTTTTACGGCAAAAAAAAATGAATAATTGCCGGGAAAACGCTGAAAACAGCCCTTTTCTATAGAATAAAAGTTGGCATTGTGATTCACTCATAGTTATAGTTAAATAGTTGAATCCGAGATGGCGCACTAAAGTGCATTAAATTGCGAATCTTATTGATAGAATAGACATAGTACTAGAACAAGGCAGTAAAAACGAATTACATTTTTATTAAACACTACCGGAACGAAGTCGCGGGCAAAAGCAAGTATGAACTAATTGCAATTTGATACTTACAGAGCGTAATGAAACCGATTCAGCTAAACTGCATTTATTGGAAGATTATATTGTGCATACCAATTATGGTGAATGGTTTTTAGGAAATGACATTGCAATCGTAAAAACAACTACTCCTATTGAGTTTAATATCAATGTAGGTCCCATTTGTCTGCCAGTTCGTTATACCAATGTGGATTTTTCTGGAGCAGTGGTGACTGCTATGGGTAAAACTGTTTTTATTTGATTTAACATAAATAAATATGGTTAAATTTGGTGATTTTTTTTAGGATGGGGACTCAACGAAGGCAGGAATGGACCTTCTGACTTTCTGAGAGCGGTCAACCTTACTATTGTTACCCGACAAAGATGTCAGGAGTATTATACACAAAAACTTAACAGAATCATCGCCATGTCACAAATATGCACCTTCGAAATGGGCAAGGACTCTTGTAGGGGTGATTCGGGCGGCCCGCTTGCATGGTTCGACAAGTACCAAACCAACCGATACCAACTCCTCGGCATTATTTCTTATGGCTCTAGTTGCGCCACGGATGCACCGGGTGTAAACGCAAGAGTTACTAGCTATGTTTCTTGGATTCTAAATAAGACAGCAGGTATGATTTAAAAACAGAAATTTTTTCAAATTTTGATTTTTTCTTTATTTCAGACGCGTCCTATTGCTTTATATAAACTGCTGTAGTTGCATTAAAATATTGAGTGTATATTTGAATCACAAATATATCTTACTAGCTGACCTGGCGAACTTCGTACCGCCTTATTTATTTAAACTTTATTACACAAAAAATAATATTGTACAAAAGGCGGACTTAATGCCGTAAAGCATTCTCCGCCAGTCACATCGCTAGCCCCGCCCCGACTTCGCACGGAAGTAAAAAACCGCATCAAAATCTGTTGCATAGTTTCAAAGATTTAAGCATTCAAAGGGACAGACAGAGAAAGCGACTTTCCTTCTCCAAACAAAAACATCAACCTGTCAATATTGTTGGCGCGGCGGGTATGTCACAAATTACCACAGATTACTAAATAAGTCATGCGAAGTTTGTATATGCGTTCTGAAATCTCACACATAGATGGCGTGACAACGGGAAACGGGTTTTATTTTCTTTTTCAATCTTTCTGAGTCATTTTCCTAATATTTTTTTTTTCCGTAAGAACATTCTACAGAGTATTAGAAAACTGCCAAAAAAAATCAGCCAAATCGGTCTAGCCGTTTTCATGTGATGGCTTGACCAGGCGAAACGGGTTTCATTTTTATATATATAGATATCATATTATTTCCATTTAAACAGTTAACTACATAATATCTGATAATTAATCATAAACGTAGATGATTTACTTAAATATTCGTTACCTTTATGAATATATTTCAAGCGTAGAATAAGAGAAAGTCAATGTAAATTGATAATAACTACTATTGGGGTAGTGACAGAATGCAAATCACATAAGATAAGGTAGTTTATGATAAAGTAGCAAATTCATTCACATATTCTTTACATTTATTATTTTAACTGGGTATTCTAGTCTTGAGGTTTCAAAAAATCGATTTTTTTTTTGATATCTTCAAATTTTGCCTAACATTGCAAGCGCCAAATAAGATAAAGTAAACGTGTGTTGATAAAATCCGCTGCGATGGCCCATGTTTACAAAACATTGCAACAACGATAAGATCGCGAGAATATTTTTAGTTATAACGGACATTCTAGCGACATCTCGGGGAGATTTTAAGAGTTCAATTTGAAATCGTCTGCTAGTGTTATTGAATCGGGCATTTGATAAGTGATAGTGCATAGAATCGAATGGCAAAGTGACTGTGTACCTGTAATCGCTCGCAAAGACACGTATTTCAATCAGCAGCATTATTAAATTAAACACCAGAAAATATACATACATACTATATAGTAATGGATTATATTTTACGTAATAACAAAATTTATTACATAAATTATATAAAAAATAAATTATTTAGATATGTTTTACTTTTATAATTTAATTTCAAGCGTAAAATAAGATAAAGTCAATGTAAATTGATATAATGCGTTGCTGCGATAACCAATGTGTATGTTTACAATACCTTACAACAACAATATGATAAATTCGCAAGAAGATTTTTAGTCGAAAAGGACATCTTAACGACATCTCGGATTGACCTTAAAAGTATAATTTGAATTCGACTCTTTGTTTATTGAATCATGGTTAGGATGTGTGAGTGAATGTACTGAATAAAAGAAACTATAAAAATTCTATTATGCTGTTTATAGATGAATGAACTAATTTACTTAATTTGAGTTTTTATCGCCACATTATAGTTTTAAAGATTCTCTACAGTATCCTTATTTTTCAATTGTCCTAAACACTTAGGAAATGCCTTAAAATGTACTATTAACAATCACAAAAATTAACGTTTTTGTAGTTTCTCAGCCTCCAAGTTTGATTAATTAATCTTAAACCTCACGACGTATCACCAAGGGGGAGGGGGGGGTCCAAAAAATGAAAAAAAAAGATCACGTGATTAATGGACAGCCCCTTACATACTTAGAAACATTTTCATCTTTCCTAAAATGACGAAAGTCTGGTTGTCACGAGCTCTTACTCTATTAATTTGATACACATGATTTGACTATTTTGATATTATTTGTACTTCAAAGTTTGTTTTAAATATGTGGTATACTGGGTTGCCTATAATAAGTATCTTAATTTAAACTAGCCGTAACATACCTAAACGCGGAGGAAAACTCAAACTTTATTATTAGATATTTAGAAAAACTTTAATACAGGATAACGACTTAGGATAACTACGTACTTATAATGTAAATATAATTAATATTATTATAGACATTTGTATCAAAAATATAAAAATTACAAAATTCTGGTAAAACAATTGAAAAAACTACAAAAACAGCAAATGTTATTGTCTTCTTATTACGCATGCAATTAAAATGAATATAATATCCAGAATAAAATATTAGACGTCTAAATACTGATATAGGGAGGTGGCCTCTACTTCCGTATAAGTTGGTGAGTATCTCCACGCAAGAGTACGTTTTCTGACGCAGATCGATACGCGCGAACCACGAATGCGCCGCACGAACCGAGATGGTGCAACGTTCGCTAACATTGCGTGGAATTTTCCACGCTTTCCACCAACCCCATGCCACCACACAACTATTGAACAACGACTCTGTCTGTGCTGTGCATCGTGGAAAATTCCACTTTCCACTTGCAATCACTATCGCACTCACAAATGCAAATCGCATTGTTAGCGATTCTTTTAAAATTCTCCATTGAGTGTGTGGAAATGAAAGCGGTTTCACTTAATTGATCTGGCACCGTGCCAAATTAAAATCATGTTTTTGTGCCTCCGATCTGTCACTTGAAGCAAAATTTCAAGTACCTATGTGACTATGAATAAAATTAAAATAAAACTTAGAAAAAAAAAATTCCAAAGAAAAATACAAAGCAATTGTTAGCATGCATTCAAATTGACCTTAATCATTTCAATCACCAATCAATAGTCCGATTCGGAGCACAATTTAAAGCCATCGTGTTTATCTATCGCATATTAATTAATATTAATTAAGGTTGCATTAATAAATCGGGCCGCGGTGCGTCGCGATGGCGCGCGTCGCCGACGAAGGCGTCGCGCCATCGTCACAATGACGTCATCGCACGCCTCTGATGATCTTGTTTTTTCTACTATGCCCACTCGCGTCGCAGTTATGTACACCGGCGTCGGCTGGCGATCAATAAACTACGCAACATATTCGACGGTGTGTGGCCCTGGCGCACACCAGCGCCAGCTCATCTTCATCTGTGGATGCTGAAATGAGTGGGATAACATTGGTCCTGTGGATACACTGCGTCGGCCTGGTGTTTCAGATCGATAGGATCTTTTAAACTAGGTAAAGGTTATTTTTTCGTCATTCATCAATGTCAATATCAACTTCATCAAGATGATATATTTTTTGTATGTCCAAGATAGATAATTTGTATGCGGGGCTTCCGTCAATAAATGTATTGATTCAAAGTCATGTCATGTCTAATAAGCTGGATTTTCGAGCGTGATACGACCGATTCCAATAATAGACACGCGTGCGATCTGTATCTGCCACAGCGAATCATATTTGATCGACTTTTATTATTTATTCCTCAACAATTCCTCTAACTCGTAAGTAATCAATACCTAAATACATTGTTTTGTTCTATCTTCACTAAAAATATTGTTATAATAGATTTAACAATATAAACTATTCATATTACAAAAAACATACTGCTATTTGACATAATTAACCTCTTAAAGTGAGGATGACGTGGAGTTAATATACGCACAAGGTAAAAAACCTACAGAAAATGTTTATAGAATAATTGTTAGATGACTCAATAAAAGGTCAATGTTACAAGCATTGATTTACGATGCAAAATTTTGTACTTGCCCGGCGCATTCACATTCACATTCGAGAATATAATCAGACAAAAATAGTGCATGAGCGATTGGTACCGTCGGCACCGAGTGAAAGTGAATGGAATATTCCATGATTCCATGATTCCAAGCCATTGGGGTAATCACCTGGTCAGGGCACGCACGCCTTAATTTGCATAACAGCAACGTGTATGGTCCACCAAATTCGCATTCACGCGGTACCCGTGCGTGCGCTGCGCGTTTTTACGTCTTTTTCAAAGTCATTCGTAGTTCAATGAACAGTGTTGGACAAGCGAACAACCCTATAGAACCATGCCTAGACCTCTAATCCACTTAGGACAATAACACGCATAAAAGATTTTTATGTATTTCGCTGTTTTGCAAATGCAAATATAATCATCGTCTAGTCCGTCTAAAATTAATACTTATTTATTTTTTGGCATACTGACGCATAGAAAAACAACATAGTGTCGTTTTGGTCATTGAATACGTTGCAATCACTTTGATGTTTGCATTAATGGCGAAGGCGACGGAATTCGATCGTTTGTTGATGGCGTTGTTTACAAAACAACACGCAGCGCGCGCAGTGAAACGTAAAGCAAGCTGCAAGCGAGCGGAATTTTCCTTCGGAGAGCGATTCACGAAATGCGAAAATGCGAGTCGCGGCGTGTGTGCACCCTACTTCTTGCGGGGCGCAAGCGCGACCGTGTAGTCTGGGTCCGGGTAAATTGGAACGGTAGCTCCCGGATTTCGGTGGCGAAACGCGACTCGACACATCCACTCCGACCGATCGATATTTCCCACTACACTCGACAAACCAACCAACCAAATATACACACAAATACACACGCATAATTAAATTTTGAATAAAATTTCACTATTTTAACGATAATTTAAAAGATATTTTAAGTAGTTAAATTTAATCGGTGTTTTAATTTGCGATTGGTTGCGTGTTACGCAAAATGCGCGTTTCTGACGGTTAGGCGAGATTTAGACGCCGGCGCAAAGCTCGCACGCGTCCTGCCACCGCCGGTCGGCAAGGTATTTTCAGTGAAGTCTGTTGACGTTGGGCCAGTGTTCAGAAATACGCGCTGCGAGGAAGACGCGACTGCGGGACCGCCAACCGATCCTGAAATACTAAAGCACACCTAATACACATACGTACACACACATACAACAACACGGGAAACTTGTGTGCCAGTTTCGTCAAGTGCACATGTTGTCGCTCTTCTCGTAGCGATTTATTCAAACTGCGAGATTTACGAACATCTTCTGAATTGATATTTGTGCCACAAATGGGATAAGGTAGACGAACAGACAAACAGACAGTTGATTTGTGTGGCGTGTAGGCAGTTGGATATACATTCCGTTAAATCAATTTTAAATAAAATTAAATAATAAATAAATAAAAAAAACTTCAAAATGTCGATAAAATCGACTGAAATTCGTAACGGGCACGAGCTGGCACCGTTGAATAGCCGGCAGGAAGGAAGACCCGGTGTGACCATCGTCCTGCAAGGACCGCGAGGTTCAATCATCTCGCGTGGATCGCGCAATAGCGGACTCGAGCCGGACTCGGACCGCGCGGCATGGTCCGGAAAGATGCAGTTCTTCCTCTCGATCATCGGATACTCGGTGGGGCTGGGTAACATTTGGCGGTTTCCGTATCTCTGTCAGCAGAACGGAGGAGGTGAGTAGTGTATGCGTGTATATTTCAAGAGCAAGTTCATTTTCGCGGGCCAAAATTACCATCGGCTAACCTTCGTTACGCTGGTTTATTTTCGACTCTCGCGGTTTCGTAATTGCATTCGTTTGATTACGCGTTCACGCGCGCGTTTGCCGCCTCACACAGCGGCTACAAGTGAGCAAATAGAGAGCGTAATGTAGTCTGTTTCGGCGTAACAACATTGTACCGCGTGCGTGCGCCGCAAGCGTCGATTATGCGGCTATTATTTTGTGCGCTGCAGCGAAATTGCAAATTGTGTGCACTTAGCGCATGATTTCTTTCTCGCACAAGTTTCGATTTTGTTCGGAAACACCCACAGTCTATTGCGATCGGAATTATTAAACGCAATTTGTGTTTTATTTAGATTTGATCGATTTTTCAATTACTCATAATGTATCACTATCGATTTGCTTCTCATAAATACTAATAAAGAGCGTTTTATTTAGTGTTGTAGTTGGCTCCATAAGCCGATTAATTAACGTGAAAACCCTTGAGTATTATCTAATATAAATATAAATATGTACATTGGGATATCACATTTTTCGCTTTAATCCATCGCTTATTACACACATTGATGATAGAGCACTATAATGGGACAACAATTTACCTTAGAATGCAAAACTGCAGCGGACAATTGTTCTTTTAATAGTCATGATGTACATCGTCTAGGTTTTAACTTTAAGCGAAAATATTCGCGAATAGCTCATAAAGGCTTTCATTGAAGCGTAAACTAAACGGTTTGTTTGCATAAAAAATGTTTACGAGTAATAAGATATTCAAAGACTATAATGTTTTCACATTGCTTATCTCTCAAGTCGGCTCGGATGCATCAATGAATTATTTGTTTGGACTAAGAAATTTAAACGGTAACTTTCCAATGAAAAAAACAAATTAAAATTTTTCTAAAATGACTACATCCACTGTATTTCTCAAAAACATAGCCTATAAATTTGAAAATTTGTATTCATTCAATTGGCACGTGGCAATCACGCAGTTAACTTTTTTTAATCAAATCAATGTCAAGTCCTTAATCACTCCACATTGAGCATAATTGTTCCGCTTCCCCTACGAGCACAACAGAATTAATTCATAGCAAACCACAACCGCAAAACAACAATAAATCACTATAGAGAATATTTCGACGCTGTCAGACGTAGCAGATTTAAGATAATTTCCAATTGCGTTTAACATACTGTATGCCAAAAAAATGCACGGTCGCGTGATGTGTCACGTGCGAGTAACAAATTTACTTTGACGTTTCTGCCCGATGGAGGGATAACACGATGTACGTGCACGAGAAATATTCAATAATAAGCGATTCGCAGCGCATTTAAACGACTTTCGGCTTCTGTTTACTATTTTAAGATAACGCCACATGCGCATTCCTATATATTTCGGGTGCGAGACGCAGATACTTCGAATGCTTTTGGCACTCGCATTCCGTGCGAAACATTCGATTTGAAGATTTACGCGAGAACGATATTTATTTGGTCGTGCGGTGTGATCACTTTGACGCCATAAATATTACGTAAATATTTTGTTTCCGAAAGAAAACAACGCCGGGAAAGTTACGCGTTACTATTTTTCATTTTGCAAATGCGAGCCATGCGCCATTTTAAATGATGCTTTTTATAGTCGCCAAAATCTTGAAATAGATCGTGAAGCCACTCATCTTGGTTTCATTTCTAGACAAAATATAAAATTGCTTTCCTGTAATTCTTACATAAATTTTGCTTCAATGACACGTTTTATAGATTCATTCTTCTGCAAAACGTGGTTACTGCGTGCTTTGAAATTGATAAAAGCTTTTGTTGAAAACATTGTTTATTTACACAGCGTGTTCGTTAAGAAGGTGTTTATGTAATATTACAGCAAACAAACGAATATGACTACACCGCACGAACACGAACATTTCAGGTTATTGATTTTACATCTCAATCAGAAACGAGCAATGTTGTGGGTGTACGCCATTAGTTAACTTCACCCAGATGTCGTAAATGGCACGAACGTGGCTGAACTCCGCATTTTCAATATCCAATCGCGAATCAAAGTCAAGGGTAACTCATGTTTAATCACATTACAGTAAACAAACTTCAATTTTATGATAAAAAAGTTTTTTTAGAATTTAAGGAAGAAAAACAGGAAGACGCTTGAATGAATTGGAACAATTTGCGCTGGGTCACAAATCCGATGATTTATTTCGGTTGTTTTCATCTTGCGTGCGGGGGTCGGACGAACGCCTCCGCACGAGAGCGGGCGCGCCACCGAAAAAATCAATATGCGCAAAGTATATAACCGGAGTAGGTCAAAGCGTTTCCATACCATGCGGTGGTTCTCGGGCGGGCGCCGCGTGGCGTCGGTCGCGGACGGAAAATTGCCATTCAGCTATATTTAAACGCGTCACAAAACGCATTACCATCCAACAACTACAATGCAATATATATTCTTATAGTAATGTCCTGTAATTTCCCTTTTAGGAGCGTTTCTGATACCATTCTTCATCATGCTGATATTTGAAGGAATACCGCTCTTTCTCATAGAACTGGGTATTGGTCAAAAGATGCGTTTGGGTTCACTGGGAGTGTGGAATACTATACACCCCTGGTTAGGAGGTATCGGAATCTCCTCCTGCATCGTCACGTTCTTCGTCGCGCTCTACTACAACGTGATCATCACCTGGTGTTTTTACTATCTGTTCAACAGCTTTCAGGTAACCAACTGGTCCCGCTCGACATCAGATCACGTCTTCTAGCATTTTCATTTGTGTTAACGTTTTATTTTGTTGTTCAGTGTTTCCCCTGTCTTTAGTTGTAGTAACCTACCAACTCTCACATTAACCCCATGATCATCACCTTGTAGCGTTGAACAGAATTAACTCACTATGTCAATAAAGGCTTTAATATTGCAGTCACCGTTGCCGTGGTCGGAATGTCCTAAAATCAACGGTACGGATGTGTTAGAGTGCGCTAAATCTTCGGAAACCGCTTATTTCTGGTATAGAACCACACTGGATGCAGCGCCATCGATCGAGGACCCAGGCGCGCCTCGCTGGTGGATCGTTATGTGTTTGTTGTTATCGTGGATTATCGTTTTCTTCATTGTGATGAAAGGCATACAGAGTTCCGGCAAGGTAATTTGATTGATAAGGCGTAAACAAGTTAACAAATGAGCTAAAATAATCTTCTATCTGCAGGTTGTGTACTTTACGTCAATGTTTCCTTACTTAGTTCTTACCATCTTCTTCGTGCGCGGTATTACGTTAAAAGGAGCAAGTGCTGGTCTGGCTCACATGTATACGCCAAAGGTAATCGATTGTATTCGAAACATATTCAACTTGATTTAATTTCAATGTCGTTTTCTTTTGTGGATGATGATCAGGTGGAGAAGTTACTAGATCCAACGGTGTGGCTGGACGCAGCCACGCAGGTATTTTATTCCTTCGGGCTGGCGTTCGGATCGCTCATTGCGTTTGGTTCCTATAACCAACCGAAGAACAACTGTGTCCGTGATGTTATACTTGTCTCCTGCTGCAATGCCATCACTGCCATTTACGCAAGCGTCGTCATCTTCTCTATTCTCGGCTTCAAAGCGATGAGCAATGTCGATAGGTGTATTGACAGGTAAATATATCAAAATTTGCAAAAACCGACTAAAATTTAATTATTAATATTTGCAGCAATACTATTAAAATGATTGCTAAAGAACTATTGCCGAATACAACAATTACCGAAGAGATGTACAAAAACGCATTTGATCATATCTCCGATGAGGAAAAAATAAAACTGGGACTGGAGACTTGCTCGTTGGCACAACAACTAGATGAGGTGAGTCTGCTGTTTGTTGTTTGTTGTTGTTTACGTTTGCTTAATATGATAATCAATGTTATTTTATAGGCTGCTGAAGGCACCGGGTTGGCGTTCATTGTTTTCACGCAAGCGATCGTCGAATTGCCCGGAGCGCCATTTTGGGCCGTCATCTTCTTCATGATGCTGCTGTCCCTGGGTCTCGGCTCCCAGATCGGCATACTTGAGGGCATGCTCTGCACTATTTTTGATATTGAAATTTTCAAACGTATTCGCAAAGAATACGTTACAGGTAATTATAAATGTTTAGTATATCTACAGTGTTAAGCATAAATTTTTTATCTCTTGAAGGTGTCGTATGTATAATCTGCTTCTTTGTCGGATTAATATTCACAACCGGAGCTGGTGAATACTGGCTGAAAATGTTTGACTCCTTTGCCGGAACAATTGGTCTGGTTGTGGTTGCGTTGATGGAAATGATCTCAGTGGTGTATATCTACGGCCATGAGAAATTCACTCAAGACATTTACGACATGACTGGTTACCGACCAGGTATTTTCTGGCAGGTCACATGGCGGTTCCTCGCACCTCTCATTATGGGTGTTATTCTGATTTCGTCAATTGTGTTTATGGTCATCAATAATCCATCGTATTCCGCATGGATTGCTGAGAAGGTATTTTTTCATTTATCCCTCAAAATACACTTGTTTACCGCATTTTTACCGTATTTTTAGGGTGAAGTGGTATCAATGCAATATCCCAGCTGGGTTATGACAATCGCTATGTGCATGATCGCCGCTGGAGTCTTACCCATACCGATTGTATTCCTGCTGAGAAGGTACCAATGCTTGAAGATGGATATCAACATCCATGAAGGATCCATCCGCCGTATTGATACAACCGTATCAACCAAGGAAATGATTACCGATGTTGATGTAAGTAAAAAAGGCTGCCTCACTATTGCAAAAGTAAATGTACAGTGTATCCTTGTAATTACGTGCTTCACATTGGGATTTTTATGTTGATGTATTAATATTTTACTGACGACCTAGTTCATAGTGTGCTAATTAACATTTGTGATATCTATCTAACAATAGGAGCAATTAACAAGTCCTGATGGGCCGTGTCTCACTGCTAGCAACACACGCAAAAATAAATTCACAATTGGCGACTTTGAGGTTTAATGATGTAAGTACTGCTTGCTGGCAAAACAGTCCAAAACAAAGTATCATTGGCATTTTTCAATCTCTACTTCTAATTGTTGTCAAGCAGTCATCTAGAAAAGCATGGAGCATGATTTTTGACTCCTTATCCTTGCATTCCTTATATTTTGCTGTTTTTTAATTTTATGTATTTAATGATTGTTTTTGTGTTTAGCTTGATGACGATTCGGATGACAGTCCTCTGCGCGATTATCGCGACAACGACAACGATGATAGCGACGACGACGGTCCGAAGATCAACATGAACGTCCTGCGGAAAACATTCAGAATGGAGGTGATGGACGATTACTGAAGAGATGTCTCTATTTTTTTATCATTCAACCAGACGCGTGTTACAACATCCTCTTGCTTTTATTCGACGTTCTTCCTTCTCCGATGGGTGGACGCCATGACAGTTTTTACGTACGCGTTAGGCATGTGATACAGAAACACTTTGCGGTTTACCATTTAGCGCTGGAGCGCTGGATCGCATCCGGTGCATGACACGTGTTTGGAAAACGTTTTCAAATTTTATTGTACATAAGCCCCTGAACGTGTGTGATTTTAAATATTTAACAATCAGAGCAAATCTTGATATTTGAATATTTTTAAACGTGCCACAATTTGAGTCGCAGATGCAATCGCGTTTGTGACGTTTTTCCCGATTGATGTTAACTGGTTCTGATGGTGTAACCTAATGTGAACGCTTATTACGCTTTAACGTAGGTGTATTTTTAAATGATTAACTTTAGTAAAACAGTTTAGAAGTCTACATTTACACTCAGAGTATATTAAGTTTGAAGGATACAATAGGAGCATTTCATTTTTAAAACTATGACTATAATATTTTAAAGACATCTCTATCACTCTCCTCATATGAATGTAAACAATCTGATCAATATTCTATTTATAAACAACAAACGGCTAATGATTCACAGTATTCACGTACAGGTTGCAATTACTCCTCGACATTTCATTTCGAAGATAAATGCTTGTTGTTGAATAGTAATATGTAAAAGAAACTCATACTTAATCGAAGGATTACATGAAGAAACATAATTAAAATATGAATTATTTATAGCTGTTGTAAACGATTGATGTAATTAATGATTGTAAATAGTGTACATAAAGGTAGTCATATAATTGAAGCAAACGAGACAAACCAGACGCGATCGTAAACTGAAACTAGTAATCAAACCGACAAAAAAACAACTGATAGCAAATATATAATTATATATGCCGGTTTGACATATTGATATTACAATATTAGTACACAACAATTAGTTTGACGAATTGCGACATTATTTACGCACTTTACGTTTCAAGTTTGAACGCGATATTAATCTTAAAAGCTTCTAGTTAATTACTGTATGAACTGTAGATTACAATTATTACAATTAAATACAATTACCGTAACTGCAAACAAATGCGAAATTACAAACATACATAAAGTTGAATTCTAAAGTTTGAAACGTATTTAATTGAAAAGCGACGAAAATGAAGGTTGAAGTTAGATTTGCGATTAGAGTAGTTTTGCATAGACACAAATATTTAACCGAGCAAATAATTAAATTTCCACCAGGTTATTAATTGATTCTACAACTACGTATAGGCCAAACACTGAATACGAAAAGAGGGTAAACACTGTACTATTAAATAAATACCAACATAGTATATAACGTAATGTTTATGACAAAGATTGATGATATACCTAAGAATAGTAGTATTATTTTTGAAACCGCAGAAGAAAATTAAATGAGATGAAATGATATAAAACAAATGTTTATAATAAGCATTAAATTAAACTAGGCTCGAAGTGTCGATGTGATAATATTAATTCATAATATTCATCACTACATTCTTTAAGATTTCCACATGTTTTTGTATAGTTTTCGTTTGAACAAAAATAATTTGTATTTGTTGATTGCGTTGTGCGTTCATTATTGAGTTATGTATTTAGTTATTCTTGCAAATTGTCTTTGAAATCAATCTACTTTGTTGCGTTCTCAGTTTGTGTTGAGATTGAAATTGAGTTTCATCATTTCAAAAGACAATAAAGTAATCACTTAAGTACCGATTAAGTCAAAGAGTTTTAAAACGAAGTTAAAGCCTAAGAGATAAAGCTTTATAGTTTTAGCGACAAAAAAGGCAAGTGAGATAGCAAATAGTGAGTGTCTTTTGATAAGTTGTTCGTTCGCTTTGCGTTATCAGTCAGTATTTTAATTCGATGATGTGTTTTTCTAAGCCAACAAGACAAAATGATCGTACCTTTGCTACATTGAATCCTTATGCAACGAAGAGTGCAAATATGAATCCAAACCAAACACATACACACACATTCAAACATAAAAAATGGAAACTTTCAATGCTCCGCCAACGTTTTTACCAAAAAAAAAACCGCAAGCAAAACGTTCGAGTAGAGAAATTATATTGGAAGCAGATATACATATATAATATAGACTTAGAGGCCTATATTGTCGAATCGATGCAAATTAAAGAAAACAAAAAAACTATTACTGAAAATAATAGGATATGAAAGAAAAAATGCTCACCGTCACAATAAATCAAATTTATTGTGATTTATTTTGTGTAGTTGAAAAACAAATATTAATAACGTAATAAGAAGTATATTATGTAATTTACCGATTAGGGAAAATGTTGTAAAAGTCCTAACGCGACTGAAATTAAATCACATTTGATGAGAGATGAAAAAAATACCACAAACATTACATTAGCGCTATGTGTTCAATTAACAATGTTATGGAATTTTTAGTTTCAGTTCTGTTCAGTTTAATGACTCAGGATTTACTTCTACAGACAAACAATAGAAACAAATGAATCATTTATGTTTAAGCAACTTTACCGTACTTTGACTAACTAAGGGTTTTGTTGAGTACGAACGTAAATAGCACATATCCGCACTTAATGAAAATGCAAGTCAATAATTTATGAAATCTGTAGATTTTGGAAATCTTTGATATATGTACAATGGAAATTCTTTAATATTGTTAATTAATTCATAATTTCAATAATAAAACTATACATGTGAATGTACTATTTGTATCTTTGATTGGACTTGACATTTCTTTCTGAATAAATGAAAGTATTAAACATATTTTGAAACAATTAATGATCTAACCTTCATTCAACTTCAATAAATAAAAACAAATGATTTAATAGTTCTAATCTGATATACATTTTTGAGAAATATTGATTCGAATGAAAAACTAACTTAAGTTGATTTCATGGGTCTAATATTTATCAAGGAAATTTTAATCGTTTCTGAGAAAATTACGTTAGAAAGTTGTTTTACTGTAAGTGCCCTAACCATTCAAATCTAATTTTTCCGTTTTTTTTGCATATATTTATTAATTTCTGGAACCTTTTGAGTTGAAACGAAACGTGCGCTTTGTTTAAATTAACTGCAACCTGTTTTGACCCTTAATGAACAATTAAATTAACAACAACAAAAGTAAACCATGTACACTGCATTTTTTAATCAAATAAGCACAAAGCAGTAAAAACTTAACGTAACTTGTAATAATTAATGGTTGTGTTCAGACATTAAAAGCATGGATAGTATAATGTGACTGGTATTTATTATTATATACAGAATGGTAAAACTATTTTAATTATATGTATTTTTTTCAATAATTATATAACCATGGTGTCAAATATCGTCGTTCTAAAAACATATTCAAGAATTAATTTCCTACCATTTTTGCAAAAATTAGAATTAAAGCTACTGAATTTTTCCAGAATATGTTAATGGAAGGTTTTTCCACATACGTTATACCGTATATGTAATAACGGAAAACGTGATAAAGATAAAGATATAAATATTTATAAAAACAAACTGTTTTAGAATTCGTTCACGTTGCAATTCACAGTTTGTATTGCGCAAATATGTCGTACATTGTATTAAAGTTTATATTTTTCTGTTCAATCTTTATATTAATTATACAAGCAAATATTGTAGTGGAAATTGAAAATGGTAAAATATTAGGTGAAATTTTATTTGATTATGACAATGAAAAATTCTACGGTTTTCAATCCATACCATATGCTGAACCACCAATTAATGAACTAAGGTTTAAGGTACCTTTACTTGTTTCAAATATTGTATGTGAATTATTAATAGTGTATTATTACAGGCACCTCGCAGGGCTAAATCATGGAATGGAATTCTGAATGGAACAATACCTCCTCCAATATGCCCGCAATTTTATTATGAAGATCTTGTGGGTCAGGAAGATTGCCTCTATCTAAATGTGTACACTAAATCAGTAAGATATTTAAATTATAATGAAATATTTAAATAGTTGTGTAATGTACTTCATTTTATAATATTTAGATTGATAAGAAAAGTAAACAACCAGTAATGGTTTATATTCATGGCGGTGGTTATTTTGTTGGCTCGGGAAATTCATTGTCATATAGTCCCGAATTCCTTATGACTGAAGACATTGTTCTGGTGACTGTGGATTACCGTTTGGGGTACCTGGGCGCGCTAAGCTTTGAAGATCAAACTCAAGGTGTTCCTGGCAATGCCCATTTGAAAGATCAGGTAATGGCACTCGAGTGGATACGAGACAATATTGAACATTTTGGCGGAGATCCAAATTTGGTTACTATTTTTGGTGAAAGCGTGGGTGGTGCAAGTGTGCACATGTTAATGTTATCACCGATGTCTAAAGGACTTGTTCATCGAGTCATTGCTCAAAGTGGCTGTGCTTTAAACACATGGAATCGTGGAAATCTTGGAACTGGTAGTAAAATTGCAGAAATATTTGGAATCGAAGATAATTCAACAGCTGATATAATCAAAAAACTGCAACAAATACCAATGGAGGAATTTGTTACAAAAACACAATCCTCAGGAGAATTGGTAACTTAACCTAAAAATAATATTAAATTTATTTATATTTTTTATTATTATTTAGGGCGTGAGAGTTGATATTCCTGGAGATTTTTCGCCAGTGATTGAAACACAAACCAACGAACCAGCATTCATTCCAAAACCAATTATAGAAATGATTTCAGAAGCGAGCAATAATGTCCCACTGATGTTAGGTCATAACAACAATGACACATTAATTTTTCAAGTTCAACGACGTCTTTACACTGGAGCTGCTTTTATATTCGAAGATCTTAACGAAACTATTCCGTCTGATCTTGATTTATCAAATGAAGAACGACTAGATTTACTCGCATCAATTGAAGATACTTTCTTCGAAAACGAGCAAATTAACCTATCAACTAACATTGGAGCTATTTCTGAGTACGGTTTAGGTCCTTGGTTTGTTACTGGATACTTACAATCAATTCAACAACATCTTGCAGCTAATCACAATGTTTATCTCTATAAATTTTCATCAGACACTATTTTGAATTTCTTTAGACGCATGCATCCTGTCACAGCTACATATCAAGGAGCATGTCATATGGACGAGTTGGGTTATTTGTTTAGAACACCGTATGCGCCATGTTTTAAGCGTGATTCTTTAGAAGAAAGAAGTTTTCGTCAAGCTGTTAAAGTTTGGACTAATTTTGCACGTTATGGAAAACCTGCATCTAAGGAAGATGCGTTTGAATCTATTAAAATAACTGATTCAAATGACATTGCTTACATAAATATTATTAATGATAAAGTGGTGAATGGTAACGAACCAAATAAAAAGGTTTGGGACTTTTGGCGCAATGTTTATCAAACATATAAACGAGTTTCAAATTGAGGTTTATCATGCAATTAATGAAAATAGAATCTACTGTTAAAAGTGAAAATAAAAGTTTTCTAAATATATTTTCAATTTTATTGTACCTGTGATTCTTGTAATTTATATTTGAGTGATAAGGTGTGGCTGTTTGAAAATGTGTTTCGCGAAAAAATTGTCAGAAAAAAGCAAAATACAAGTAGGTTCAATGCGAAGTCGGAGGCAAACACAGTAATTTATAGAAAAATATTGTCGATGATAATATTATCAAGTGAAGCAATATTGATTGTAAATAAAATAGTAATTTGGGAGCGCAAAACTACGCTTAGCAAGTTTCATAAAAATATTATATAAATATCTACTTGCGTTATCACATTTTACTCGTAGATTAACTTCAAATAGTAGTATTAATTTATCAAAAGTTGTTTGCGCATGTTTTTTTAAAATACCTCTTCCTGGTATTTTGAGAAAACTGTGATAAGATAAAAAACATCAATGAAAAACAAAAACCGTATTTCAGGTGCAGTTAATGATTTATAATTCACTCAATTGCAGTTTGTAAAATGCGGGCGTTTATGTTATCTACTTCTAGCAATTCTTGTGAACTACGAAGTACTGGGCAAAGTACAATTGTTGTTAGTAAATGTTAGTGGAACAAAAAATGTTGAAGCACAGTGTATCAATGATGACTACAATGACGCGATTGCATGGGTCACACCACCACAGAACAATTACCCCACTGCATTGACAGGTATTTAGTCTTTTAAATTTTTTAATGTAGAAGGTAGAAATTCAATTTGTAGCAAATGAATCTCTGAGTCATATTAATTTTGATTGGAACGCATCTGAATGGGCATCTGATTTGGCATATAGGGGATGTTTGGTCCAATCTTAGATTACACATGGGAAAGTAATTATTTTAATACTAAATACTTGTGTTATTAAATTAACTGAATTATTTATTTAGCATTCCCTCTTATTAAGACTCCAGGAGCCAAACTCACACGATATTTAAATTTTGAAAATCTTGGCCAAATAAAAATATTTAACCAATTCGAACTTAATTTCTCGTTTTTGGGAAAATCAAACGCACATATTTACATGTGTTCGGGCACACAAATACCCGCCAGTGATTGTTTTATTATTAGTGTGGGTGGTTGGTATGGTAAGCTAAGTGTTTTTGCCCGTTGCAAAAGTGGTACAGCTCCTACAAACACAAATGATAACTTGGCAGGTTGTGAAGTGGTTAAAAGCGTATTAATATCATAAGTACAACTTTACAAAATGAATTAAACTTGTTTATTTTTAGATAAATCATCCGCAATTATTCTCTGAAGACCATTGGAGCCAGATATCAATAAGATATTATAATCAACAATTATTAGTGATTATTGATGACGTTTCTTTGATATCTTACAATGTTTCAAATCAAAACGAGTTTAATAATTATATAAGATTGTTTATTCAATCATATACAGAGAATGCTGTATGGAAGTACCATGAATGTAAAAATATCATTTTACTAAGCAAATTAAATTATTAAACGCAAAATTTTAGATTTATATCATGAAGCCCGAAGAATTAAACACCAACAGATTGATAGTGATTGGTTTCAAGTGCATTGCAATCAAATATGCATTTCGCTGTTTGCAAACTTTGAAAAAGAAACAACTTTACAACTATTTGATGAAAGTCGTAACCTGATTAATACGTATGATTATCAGAGGGATAGTAACTCGCAATGGAATTACAAGACTTTTGATAGTTCAGTTGTGGCAAACAATTCATATATACTGCGTATTACGAGTACTAGGAATTATGACAATATGATAGCAATTCGGAACGTGTTTCTTCATGAAGACTGCAAAATTAAGCAGAAACAATTTCATGCATCAATCTTATCATACAATGGTTTACCAGATGATATTAAGTGTACATCTCTTCGAGAAAAAAACACAAAACTAATAATTCGTTATCCAATAAAAAATGAAACAATCTACCTGGCCGAAAATAAAAAACATAATGATTTTTGTAGTAAATTTTATAATAGTGCGATTTGTGCGCATCGCATGACGTGCAATGAAAATTTCTGTTATTGTTCAATGGGATACACTGGGAAATATTGTCATGAAGGTAAGTAAGACACATGATGCATCTTATTGCATTTGCGATAGAACTATAAACATATGTTTTAGATTGTAATTGGGGAACTTACGGATTCAATTGTGAATCCAAATGTGGAGAGTGTAGATTGGTCCATTGCAGCGAAAATACTGGAAAATGTCCTGGCGGATGTAAAGACAATTATATTGAACCTTTCTGCAAGCAAAGTGATTTGCCAGTCTTGAATGACATTGCATCGATTCAGACAGATTGTATCTTTAATTGTATAATAATAATTTATGACAATGAGTTAAATTATGATGGTAGACACCAACCAAAATATTATTACACCCGGTTATTTCATTCGAATACAAGAGTAACAGAAGGAGAAATTACACCAATTGAGCAAAATGTCATTCATTTTAATAATCTAATAAAAAGTGCAAAATATTCATATCAAATTGTTCTTTGTGTGAATGCTAAGAAAGAAAAGTGTTTTGACAAAGATATCAAAACGTTTGTATTTGCAACACAATGTAGAGGTAATATAATATAATAAACTCAAAAATATTAATTTTTTAAACAAATGCATTTTTAGAACTTGAATCGGATCAGATTAACATTGAAAGTGTCAATAAATCTACGACTGTTAAAATTACATCTTTTAATTCTGAGACCGAATGTGACTTCTCTCAATATCATTGGTTGATATCTAAAGTAGCTGACAATACAATTGTTCGCTCAGGAGCGTTACAAAGACTTATAGAATTAAAGTTCTTAAACGCATTCACCAATTATACCCTGCAACTAACAAGAAACAACACAATAACTCAAATCATTTCATTTACCACGGACGAATCCAGTGAGTATTTTAGTTATCTTATAGAAAAGGGCTGTCTTTAGGGTTTTCCTAGCAATTATTCAAATTTTTCTCGCCGTAAAAACCATTCTTGGACTGTAACGAGCATTTTAAAAAAGAATTGGCTAAATTGCTCTAGGTGTTGTTGAGTTATGCGCTTACCAACAGATTTTGCAATTTATTTTTATATTATAAATTCAAAATTTTTTTTTGCTGTTTTAGTTCCAAATGGTGTTGTAAATACCAGAATAAATTCTACAGCATCTAATACACTACATATAACATGGGAGGAACCATTTCCTGTATTAGGCATTATCACCCACTATCTTGTGGAATGGAAAGTGAGTTGTAAAATTATTATTTAAGAATGCTTTTGAATTTAAAGTTTATTTTTTTAGTTTATTGAAAAAAGAGGATGTTCTATTGATAAAAAATTACCAGATATTCATTCAATGAATGTGACAAACACCGAAATTACATTAAGTAATTTACACTTTTATTCTACATATTATATTTCAATTTCTGCATTTACTAAAAAAGGACAAGGTCCCGTAAAAGCGATAATTGGACATACTGATGCAGAAGATAAAAGCAACGTTGAAGTATTTAAATTCAAAAGTTTTGTTTCTAAGAATGCTCTACAAGTATCACTGTCGGTAGACTGCATTAATTGGAATGGTCCTGTTTTTGTTCATTTATCTGCCACGTGTAGAAGTGAGTGGTGTGAAGGAATCATGACAAATCACTCTGAACTTGTACAATATAAAAATATGAATACTGCAATTCAGAAGCTGCTCCCATACACCAATTACTTCATGGAAATTTATTTGTCCAGTAAACCGATTAAAACTTATTCAAAACTAGGATCTGTAGATTTCATTACTCTTGCTAGTGGTATGTTTGGTATTGACATTTGATATTCTTTATCCACATTATAACTATATTTTTAGTCCCAAATCAAGTCAAATATGCAGAAGTGTATAGTTCAACAGAAAACAGTTTATTTCTAAGGTGGAGTGCACCATATCCTCCAACTGGAGTATTGAGTACATTTTTAATACAATTTAAATCCACAAAGTGGTCCTGGACACCTCATACAATCAAAGAAATAAGCCCATGTAAAATATGGACCAATATGTTTTGCACTACTCTGGTTGATCTTTATGAAAATCGAGTTTACGTAATATCAATTTCTGCAGTAAATAAGAACGTTTCTAGCATCGGAATAGCAACAGAACTTTCCGGATCCACATTTATTAGTGGTATTTCATGTATTGAAGTAACATAATCACTCTCTAATGATTTATTATGATTTAGAACCCCAACCGCCATTAAATTTTAAGCCAATTTGGGATGATTCGTATTTTCTTCACCTGCAATGGCAACACCCGAATAAAACAAACGGACCGTTTGAAAGGTTTGAAGTAAACGTGGATGGACAACATATTAATCATCAAGTACCAGAAAATCTTACATACACTAAAAAAGTACAAAAAAATCTAAATTTTTGTAATTCCTTAAGTTTTACATTTTTTTTTTTTTTGCAGACTTCTTTCCAATGCACACCTGATAACCATAGCACAGCAGTCAGTATTCAGACTATCAACTCGAAATACAAATCTATTTTATTATCCGATAGGTTTGCCTGTCCGGTGTTTAAAGCTACATTTAAATCAGTACCAACATTGAAACATGTTAACGATTACAATTTCAGTATTTTTATTCCAACCATAGAAAATGCTGAATTAAATAGCAGTTTGTATATTATTATATTAACTAATCATTCTGGAATGGAAAATGCTTGTAAAATAATTACTGGAATTGAGGCGGTTATACCAATTCAAGAACATCAGACTTGTACGATTATACGCCACTATGATCAAGCTCAATACAAAGAGATTGAAGAAACCGAAACAAACGTCACATTCACCGAAATGCCAGAATATGAAGCTTATGAACTCTATATATTAATTGTAAACATATTTGAAGCTCAGATGTCACATAGTTTGTACCTGGTAACTAACACAACTAAAACTAGGAGCAATGAAAATACTACAGGCACTTTAAATACTACAGGATTTAATATATGGTGGTTTATGTTGAGTGTCATAATTGTTATTGTTATTACTGGAGGTTTATTATGGAAGTATAAGTGGAAATCTACAGAGGAAATTAATATGAATGATATAAATTATACTGAAATTGTCGACTTAGGTGCAATGTCAACTAGAATATCTTCATCTACAGTACCTCCGCCTTTACCAACGAGATCAAAGAAATCAGTCACACAGAAATATGAAAAGTGCTCACAAAAAGTGCATGTTTCAGAGTTGCACGATTATGTAAGGAAGACGATTTTTAGTGATGACCTATTGGCACAACATAAAATAATCATGGAAATATCGAGCAATACTATTGATTATCATCGAGTAGAAACTGCTCATGACTCTATAGAAGCAAATTACGTATCAGTAAATAATGTTAAAATAGGTTTAGAGAATTCTACTATTAAATATTTTGTTTTGTTTGCAGAGTCCACTCTGCACGAAAGCGTATATTTTGTGCTTGGCTCCACCTATGGAAGGTCTTTACCATTTCTGGCAGATGGTTGTGGAAGAATGTGTAGAAAACATCGTGTTATTAGCGACTGTATCTGATATTAAAAAGGTATTTACAGCAAGTATATGTTACGGTGAATGTGCTTTGAGAAATGAATTTGCATATTTGTCAGGGAAATGTATAGATTTTCCACTGCAATTAGTAAATTAGATTCATCGTACATTACTCATCGGCAAATGTAGGTACATTGACCGAACGTTTGTCATTCTACTAGCTTTTGCCCGCGACTTCGTCTCGGTAGTGTTTAATAAAAATGTAATTCGTTTTTACTCTTTTGTTCTAGACATAAAATGTGTCAATTCTATCAATAAGATTCGCTATTTTATTTTAAAGATATTATTTATATAAAGAATTGCTAATAATGCACTTCAGCGCGCCATTTCGGATTCAACTATTTAACTATAACTATGATTGAATCTCAATGCCAACTTTTATTCTATAGAAAAGGGCTGTCTTTAGGGTTATCCCGGGTTATCCCCGAATTTTTCTCGCCCTAAAAACCATCCTTGAACTTTAACAAATATTTTAAAAAAAGAATTAGCCAAATTGGTCTAAGCGTTGTTGAGTTATGCGCGTACCAACAGATTTAGTGATTCATTTTTATATTATAGATGATATACGCATATTCACCGTAACATATATATTATCATAAATTAACTTTTTTTTAAATGTGCATTTTACTATTGCAGGAAAAACTAATACAATACTGGCCCGATTATCAAACAAATAATCCAATATCATTCAAAGATATACAAATATCCTTGCAGTCTGTCGAAGTTCTGTACAACTATAAAGTGTATAACTTAAAAGTAAAGTCTGGAACCACTTCGACAAAGAAACGCATTTTACACTTCACAAATTGTGCAACGCCCGGAAGGCCTATGAATCCTAACAGTCTCACATCATTCCTTCAATGTCTCAACGCAGTTCCGCATTCTTCTAAGCACCCAATTTTGATTCACGATGCCGGCGGATATGGAAATTGTGCTAATGTAATTGCCCTGGTAGATATCTGTTTGAGACAGGCTGAGCGTGATGGTCACTTGGACATTTTTCACCAATTACAATTGCTTCACTCACAACGGTCCAACATTATGGATAATGTTGAAGATTATTTGTTGGTACATCTAATCTTAGTCAAGTACCTGACTACACCACAATATGCGTACCCTTGCGACACGTTCAGTTCTCTTCTTCCCGGCATTGACAAAGCAAGTTTAACGGAACAAATAGAAATGATTGAAGATTCAATGTGGCAGGAAAATGTTTTACGCCCGGAAGTATATGTCCGGCATTACAATCAAAGGGATAAGAATCGCGATCAGGATATTATACCACATCCTTCATGTCGTGTATTTTTACGTCCTCTGTATGAGAAGGAACCGTGTTATATCAATGCGATTTTTGTTGATGGTTACCAACAGGCTAAACAATTCATTGTCACCCAGCATCCTCTGGTCAATACAGTGGATGATTTCTGGAGATTGGTTATAGATAATAACGTGAAGCTTGTGATATCTTTCCAACCAGAATACGATGTAAATTACAATAATTAATTTATATTATGTAAATGTTTATTTAAAATATATTTACAGGTGGAATTTTGGAAAAAAGGTGGTGACTTTCACACCCCAAATGGGACTTTAATTGAACACGTGGAAATTTCAGAACTTGCTGATTTTTACATGCATAATTTGCGTGTAAAACTCCATGGGACACCAATAAAAAAGATTGAAGTAAATTTAATAGAAATTACAAGCTGGAAACTGAATCAAGCTGTACCACCAGATTTACACCTTTTGATGTCAATTAGACTTCAAATGCATAGAATGAAGTGTGAAGAATTCAGTAGTGTTGTAGTGATGTGCAGGTAAATCTATACCATGATCTGTTTATAGGTGTGTTCATAAAAATTGTAATTTCAGAAATGGTGCTTCTGGGTCGGGTTTGTATATTGCAGCTTGCAATCTTTTGGATCGTATTGAGTCGGAGCATGTGGTTGACGTTTGCACGAGCGTGCGTAATATTCGCAGTAATCGATCTCAGTTTGTGTCTGATCCAGTGAGTGAATTACTTGTAAATTCGAAATATAAATTCATGTTGGTTGTTGTTTGTTACAGATTCAGTTTCATGCTTTGTATAGACTTTCTTCTTTGTTTCTTGAAGATTTTCGGAAATATTCAAATTTTGGAACAATAATTTCAACAGGTAAAAGAAATAAAATGTCCAACCACATGCGAAAACTTAAAACTGAAAATATGTAAGACATAAGAATAAACTAATTCTAATATACATACAGTGTAGCGAGTTCGTGATTCAATATAAATCAATTATAATATTAATTTATTTCCTTGTCAAAGTTATGTATAATCTTTTGATGCAGAATTTTTGTTGTGGCGAATTCAGTCGCGTTGATTGTGTCGCGTAAAAAAGACGAATCGACCACGGCAAAACGATTTATACCCACTCTCTCAATCAAAAGCTAATCTGACTAACTAGTTTATATATAGAATTCTGCATCATACTAAACGTAAAACGTAGTGGCAACGGTTAAACCCAGAGGCCGAAACCGTCGAAACCATCAAGGCTTTGTAATAACCTTAAACATTGACACTCGACGTTGGCCATAACAAATACATTGAATCGAGTTGCACAATATTGAGGCTGTTTTGTTTTAAACTATATAATCCTAAAAAATTGCGTCTTAATTGTTTACCTAAATTGTTATAACACCATATCAAACGTAAGTATACAAAGCTATTCTAATGTTTTTTCTAATGAGTAATCTACTTAATGACATCAGACCACTGACTTGCTTGCATTATTACAGTTTATAGGTTTGTCAATCATTGCAAAGAGCTACAATTCAGAAAACAAGGTTTTAAATGGCTCCAAGAAGAGGCAAGACAAAAAATGACGATGATTCTGGTGATGATTCAGATGACTACAGGAAAAAACGTGACAGAAATAACATGGTAAATTAATCTAGTCAATTCTTTTCATGTAAGTTATGAATAATTACTATATTGTAGGCAGTAAAAAAGAGCAGAGTTAAGTCCAGACAGAAAACTGAAGAAACTATGGTTCGAGTCAATCAGTTGAAAAGTGAGAATACTGTCTTGGAGGAAAAGGTGAAACAACTTACAAAGGAATTAAACTTTCTCAAAGAACTATTTCTTGCACATGCAGGGAATAATGTAGATGCAAAATTTCAGAATGTTGACTTGCAGAAATTATTTGGAGAATCTAGTGATCAGTAATTATGCTGGTCATTTAAATATTTTTAAAGCACTTGTCTCTTTTATCAATCTTATTGTATTTAACTTGTTAAAATTTTGTTAAAGTCTAAAATACTTTTTACATTTGTATTTTCTTCATTTTTTTATTACATAGGTGTAAATAATAAAGTTTAATTAAACCTACTCAAGGCTAAGATTTACAAATGTGTGTTGTAGGCTGTTGAAATCAAGAGTTCACAATTGTAATAGAATTTCTGTCTAAATATTTGTCAAAATTGCATATATTGAATTATTAATTCAATCTGTCAACACCAACACAATTATCAAGCAAATTATAAAGACTGAATTCATTTCAAATGGAGAATAGCACCTTCTTCAACTCAACAACATACCAACAACATGATCCAAATATTCAAGACATTTTACAAGGCCTCTACATCTGCCCAATGGCTTTCTTTCTGTCCTTTGTGTTTCTTGCGGACAAAATGAAAGTGCCAAATCAACTGTTAGCAATGATCTATGGATCTATGATCGGTCTTGCCTATTATTACATACCATTACTGGAGGGACAAATTGTTTTCTTCTGGAAACCTGATAATATTATCGTTCTGTGTCATCCGATAATGCTCATTAAAGTTGCTTTTTCAGTGGACGTGTACGCTTTTGCTCAGTCAAAATGGCAAATCTTGATTGTAGCCACATTAGGCACTGGAATGTTCATTTGCCTCTTTGGTTTCCTTGTGATGGTAATGAACAACCGAGAAGTGAATCTTGTCAACATCATTGCAGCCGGAACGACACTGGCTTCAATAGATGTTCCGGATGTGCTCATGGAGCTTAATCGTATAAAAAATTTGGAAGTAGTGATGGATGGAGAATCTGTATTTGGAGCTGCATTGTGTATCATGACTTACAATTTCTGCGTGGGATTTTATACACATATTGTCACCGAATGGTATCATGTTGTGTGCTTGTACTTGCGGCACATTATCCTAGCCATAATTATGGGTCATTTGATTGGCAAAATGGCGGCGTTCTCCTTCAAATTGTTTTACCAAGACGCTTATAATGCGACGATGATGTTACTTGCTAGTTGCTATGGCGCATACTATTTGTGTGAACAGTACCTCTTCTGCAGTGCGACAATTTGCACAGTTTTTGTGGCGCATTACATGGCGAAAGCAAGATCTCGACTTTCGCCCAATACCGATGCAAAAGTACAGATTGTCGTTGATAACGCGTACAATGTGGTGGAGTTTATAAATTGTATAGCACTCTCGGCTATTGTGACCTTTGGAATGGTAAAAATGTACAAAAACTTTGATTTTGCTGTCGCTTTGGGTGTGTACATAATGGGCAATGTACTCAGAATATTAATCTTTCTAATCCTGTACCCGATATTGACACGATTGGGACTTGGTTTTAACATAACAACGTTATTAACTATTTCCTGGGCTGCAAAACGTGGATCTCTCCAACTCTTACAAGTTGTTTTCATTTTCTACTATGGGATCACAGAAATTCTTGGAACGGAATTACTGTGTTTCACGGTGGTTTACTTGACACTGTCTTTTCTAATTAATATGACGTCTTTGGGTTACCTTCTCAAGTATTTTGGCCTCATTGAATTCACAATGGCGCGCAAGTATAATATTACCCACTGCATTTCGATGCTAATGGCCAAGAGACAACGTCTAATGTTTGCGCAGAAAACAAATCGACTCTTGTCGGATTTAAATTGGGAATTGATTCGCAAATTGACTGAGTTGAACAATCCTTACGCAGCAATTAGTGGAGATCTAGAACGCGCCAATGAGTTTGAAACCGTGTGCCCTTTGTGCTCTAAGAATATTCCATATTTGAGTTCAGCGCAGGAGCAACATGAATTCATTAAGTATGATTTTTAAAATACATTTATTCACATATACATTTCTATCGTTTTGCAGTGATGTTAGAAGTAATATCTTGAAGCGACAACGAATCACGTTGGTTCGTCTGTCCGAGTTAAATTTGATTCGAAAAAAAGAGTTTGATATTATCATTCAATATATTGAACTTGCTTTAAATTCAGCTGAGTTAAAAGTTCCTTATAAGCATTTTCTAGAGTTGTTTAATATTGACGTAAGTAAATCATCATCATTTAGATCATTTAGATTAACATCATTCTGTGGCAGATAATTAAAGTTTATATTTATTTATAGAAAGTTTACGTAAGATGGCAGAAAAGAATAAACCGTAATAAAATAGACGTTGGCTCAATGATTTGGAGACGCTGGGCAGTTTACAGTTTTCTCCGGGTTTTCACACACAGATGGTTCCTCTATTTGAAAATTACAATAAGTGTCCTTATTACAATTTTAATTTTAATCTGGATATTCCTAGTTGCATTTCATATTAGCTTTGCGCATTATTTATTATGGGCTGGATATGGACTTGAACTATTTTTCATATTTGAAATCCTAATTAATATCGCTTCGTTTAAGTGTGAATCAGTGTATCAGATGTACTTTAAGTAAGTGATTGATTTAACACATAGTCTAACAAACTTTATAAATGACAAATGATTTTGTTGATAGAATTTGCTGGAATTTTTATGGTATTTTCCTGCTACTGCTTGGTATTACGTCATTGATTGCTTCTGTGGTGTTTGGCTTTCATTATATTCGCATTACATGCCTTTTAAGAGTACTTTCCTATGAGCAAATGGGAATCTACTTTTTGCCATTCCTCAATTCAATGCTCATTCGGAAAATCGATCGACAATTGGCAACTGCTTATTGCTTTGGTCTCGTAAGTGACTAAAAATCATAATAATAATAAGATAGAATTAAATACATTTGTATTCACAGGCAATTGTAACAAGCCTCGAGGAGGTCCAATCCAATCTCCATTCAATTTGCAAAATACCACATGTATATGATTTCATTGCAAGACAAGTTCAAAATGACAAAATGTGCTTTATGGAAATGCTTGCATTTGTTCAATATACAAAACCTCATGTCGCAGTAGCCACAAGCACATTTCAACTGAAGATGTCTGTATTGAAAGAAATGTACACAACTGCACAAGAGATATTCGACGTTGGAGCCATTGAGGAGTTTGAATATCACATATTACGCAACATTATCGAAAAAACAACCTGGAAAGTTCGTCCGACGACCGCTGTCCAATTAAATTCAGCCAAAACAATGTTGCGCGAAATACCGTGGATAGGCGCCGACGATGATATGTTTGAATATCTTTGCTCAAACATAATGCTAAGGATATGGGAAAGTGGTGAAGCCATTTGCGAAAAAGGTGATTTTATTGATGGTATTGTTGTTATAACGCAAGGTAAGTTTGCTTAAAACTATATAATTGCAATATTTATCTATGTGGAAACTCAGAAACTCCATAAATTTATAAATTCCATAAAAAATTAAGTGATGGCTAGACAGAGCTGTCTTAAATTAGGCAAGGCCAATTTAATCCAATTTAACTGTAATCTGTAAATATGTTTAGGTCTTCTAAAAATGACTTACGAACCAGATGAAGACATGCTATTTAATTTAGAGAGATTTGGAATGTTGCCAATCAAGGAAAGACTAGCAAGCACTAACTTTAAAGAACCCGAAGAAGAGTATTTATTCATGGGGAATACAATTGGTGAATTATCGTTTTTGACGGGACGTCCTTACGATTGCCGGATTGAAGCGGTACGCAGTACGAGTGGATTAGTTATTACAAAAAACGTTCTTCTTGAAGCGTCTGACTTTAATACAGATCCTATTTTTGGGTAAATGAACAATTGGGTAGTATTTTGTAGTTGTTTCTAACAATTCATTTATAGACTTATCTGCCGAATGTGGAAACACGTGACAAGTACAATCACGTGGCGTATATTAATGGAAAAAGCACATTATCACAATATTTCTATTACGTATTTGCATTCGGTAATGAATCGTGCTTTTATACCAAACATTTCACACTATCAAGTTCTTCAAGTATCAAACTATATTGATGACATCATTATAATCGATGGAATGGTAGTCGACTATAATACCAAAAAGCAATATATGGCGCCATGTTGTATTCCCAGGTAATGCAATTATTCCATGTGATATTATTTTATATTTTGAAAATTTAATTTAATTGTAGATTGGTCCACCAACTGCAAGTCTTACCACAGAATACAAATGCAATATATGTAAAGCCAACAATAGTTGTAATACCACGCATCATGATTGATTCTTATACAGTAATGGAAACAACAGAAGACATATCGCAGATTAAAAAGGGCGCGCAATCAACAGCACCCGTTCGAAACGTAGCAATTCGAAAAATAAAGCGAGAATGTGCAATCGAAATGATTCGTGATAGAGAAAAGCTTTCAGAAGTAGGAAAAACAGATGAAGAAGAGAGAATGCATCGAAACAGCATAAACGAAACCAAAATGACGTCAATTTTAGACTACCTATCACAAAAATTTTAACGAATTATAATGAATTATTATCAAAGCTATTTGATAAATGATTGTACCAACAACCATCATGGTCCAACCAGTTAAACCATGTGTTATTGCACAATTTGGGATCGGATCTTACATCGAAACCAATTGGTGGCTTAGGCTTGGCTTCTCGCATTAAATGATTGAGTTTAAATGACAAGTATTCAACTATTTCTGGATGTTCTGCGGCCACGTTTCTATATTCGCATGGATCCTCTTTCAAGTCAAATAAACACACGCCATCACACGGTCGGATTTCATCTCGTTCTTGTTCATGAGCACTTGGTGCACAATTCAAATGCACTTTGTTTCGCAATGATATTGTTTGCTTCAATGTCAGTCGATCGTTTGTAATTTTCTCAATGTAAATATTTGTCTTGCTCGTTTTTATACGCTGATAATGTATTGTTGGATTTGTAAATCCTTTATCACCAGTATAATTGTACGAAAAATATGAATCTACAAATAAAATGTTGTGTGTACTTAAAGTATTTTATTTTATTTCTTTACTTACGGTTAATTAATTTATATCTGCCATTGTAACCTATGTAAGCGCTGTAATTAAATTTTGGATCAATGTCAACTAATAATTCGGTTCTTTCATTTAGCATTTGATTGTTGACTAAATTTTCCCATTGATCAATTCCATCCGTAGGACCAAAGTCTTTGATATTTCCACCTGCAGCTCGAAATAACGTTGGAACCCAATCAGAAACATGAAATAATCCATTAAAAACATCGCCAGTGCGTTGAAGTAATGGCGAATAAATAACTGAAGGTGTTCTTACGCCTCCATCGTACATGGTCATCTTAATGCCTCTCAGAGGATAATTTGAGCCTGAATTGGCATGCATTCCATAGGTTGGTGCACCGTTGTCAGAAAAGAAAACAATTATACTATTCTCCAACATATTTCGTTTTGCAAGCGCTTCAACCACATCCCCAACTGATTTATCCATATTTTCTATAATTTCTGAAATAAAGTAAGTAGTTATTCGTCAGACAAGAATTTAGAATATTTTTAACCTGCTAGTTTTCGTCGATTTGTGTCTTTTATGAATGAGTATTTCTCGTTGGTGGCAGTAACATTAGCAACTTCTAATTCTGATTCATGATCAGTTTTTAATGTCTTCCCTGTATGACCCGCCAAATGACTAATAACCAAGTGTAAGGAATCTTGCCTTGGATGATTCTTAATTATATCTAATGCCCGCTCAGTAAATAAATCGGTTGCATACTGGCCATTCTTATTTGTGATGGGCTGGTAGTTATCATGAAGATCATAGCCAGTATATTTCTAAAACATATATTTTATTATTATGTTTTGTAGTTATTTACTTAAATATTTGACGGATTAGTTATTTATCGTCAACAAATGCTTTGCCATTTTTTGCGCAAAAAAATGATTTTACTTGATGATAAACAAAGCAACACAAACTATTAGAGAGATTATTGGTAGTTAGATACATTTTAGTACATACAGCACCAATTGTATGATTAAAATATCCCATAAATCCATTCCAGTAACCAAAATGTGTGTCATAACCATATCCAAGTGGAGTATGTTCCTTCTTGGCGTATCCCAGGTGCCATTTTCCGATTAAATGTGTGCTGTACCCCAATTTTTTCAAACTAATTGGTAAAGTATTCACATCTTTTGGTATATGTTTCGGCACACCAAGAGCCAACGGGTATCCTTGAAATCCAAGTCGAATGGGATACTGACCTGTGAGGAATGCTGCTCTCGAAGGAGTGCACACTTGTTGAGTGTAAAATCTCTTCAATAGTAATCCATGATAACCCAGCGAATCAATATTAGGCGTTGATATTTGATCAGAACCATGATAACTCACATCATTCCATCCCTTAAAAATACAATTTTTATTAATCGCTATTTTACTATTAAAATTTTAATTTACCACATCGTCGGCAATAATACAAATTATATTTGGTTTCGGATTGTTTGTCAGCCTTGAACTAATACAAATGATAGAGATCAAGAGCACAGCACTGCATGCTATAGAATATTTCATCTTGGAGGCTGGCACACAACTATTTAGTTGATTTAAATTCGAATGAATGCTTCTACATTCTTCCACTCATTTATTTTCACATGTTTATAGTGAAGTGCTAACCTACTTTAACGAAGTAATCACGCATTCTGCGATGATGCCCAGCACGTGCATATATTTAGCGAAATATGAGCTGCTCAATGAACACTTGTCTGGATTTCGCGTTTATCAACATGCGTATATATCTCATAATTACATTTTAACGAGCAGGCGTTGCAATTTCTGTCTACATACGTATAATAAATTGGTGAAAGTGATGTACACATCCTCAAAATGGATGCAAACATCACGGATATTCCCTTGCCGCCATTCTACAATTTTTACTTCCTACCCGGACTTCATGGTTACATCGTGGCCATCTTCGTCGCTGGTCTAGTCACATTCATATCAAAAGTATTCAACATTCCCCATCAAATTCCATCGGCCTTTTCAGGCATTATCATTGGACTTGCAGCAAGATACATAGGATACTTTGAAGAGCTTGTTATGGACGGTCATCTTCTACAATCTGTATACATCCCTTTGCTGATTGCCAAAATAGTCTACAATATGGACCATTATCTTCTCAAGAAGTCTCTTATACAAATCTTCATTGTATCAGTAATTGGTAACACAGCCTTTGTTTTTGCATTTGGAATGATACTGTCTCTCTTCCAAAAGCGAGATGTACCAATGTTAAACGTAATGATCATTTCGGTAATGGTGGCCCCAAACGACAATCCAGAGCTTCAGATCTCAGATGGAATCAAAAATCTTGAAACGTTGATGTATGGCGAAACAATTTTAGGCGTGGCTGTGTGTAATGTAGCACGTCTTATCTTTACCGGTGTTATCCACATGCACATCGTAGAATGGTACCAAGGAATTGCTTTAATTATCAGATACTTTGGATTTTGCATTCCGATTGGATTCGGATGCGGTTTGGGAATGTCGCTGCTCTTTCGTGAGCTGTATAATGATAGCATGAACGCTGTTGCAACTTATATATCAGCAGCTTATTTTGTTTACATTCTTTGCGAACATTTTGCATTTACCAACGGAACTTTAGGTACGTTTATCACTTTATATATGATGACAGCACAACGTACCAAGTTCCTGTCCAAAACCGATGACGAAGTAAAACTCTGTTGTAATGTGGGATTTGCATTGGTCCACACACTTCTTTCAATCTTCTGTATTGCTGATAGTGTTTACTGGGTTAAAGAATATCTACCAGTAAGCTTATTAGAAGCAATAGCGGTTTATATCATGGGCAATGTCATCAGATTGATCATCTTCCTCTTGGCATCGCCATTATTGAGCCGTATTGGATATGGCTTTGAGTTTGCTAGTTTAGTAACTCTTTTCTGGGCGGTGCAGAAAGGACCATTGCAAATGATTCAAGTGTTTAAATTACATAGCGATCCCGGAGAGTTCCAAATATTGGAATCATTAAACTTCTACGTTGTAATCTACGTTATACTAACGTCCATTGTAAATGGAACCACATTAAAAGTCTTCCTGAAAGCTTTTGGATTGATTAAATTATCTAACAGAAGAAAAGCCAACATCAGTATCGCTGTAACTAATCTTAATGCAATTGGCAGTAAAGTATTGACCAGTTTGAAAGGAAACCGATTCTATTCAGATGTAAATTGGGCGGTGATTAACACTCATATAGTTTTGAGAAATCCGTATGAAGATCTTTCAACCCTTTGGACCAAAGACAACGTTATTTGTCACGTTTGCAATGCGGCTGTACCACTAAAACCCACAAGAGACGAATATAATGAACATTTAAAGTATTCGCATCAATTTATCACTATATTATTTATTTGAATCAATATTTACTTATTTAGAGATGTTACGATAAGAACATTGAAAGCCCAACGAGTTTCCTTCTTAGAACAACATGAACTCGGCTTACTATCCAAGCAAGACGTCGGAATATTATTAGAAGCGATTGACATTGCAATGGATTCGACAAATATGACTATAAACATGGATGCTCTGCTTTCTTGCATGGATTCAAATGTTTTATTTCATATATAGTTATAGTTCAATCAGAACTAATTGATTTGATTGTAGAAAGCATTTGTTGTTACAAAAAGAGTAAGAAAAATCTTAACAATCGACAGCAGCATTAAAATACCAAGAACTGTGCACAGAAGAAAGTGCTATAAAATTACTAACTCTTTAAGTTTTGAGCTTGTTGTATGTGTGATCGTTTTGATAGATGTGGCTGGTCAAATCATAAGATTATGTGCTGATTATTCGCCGGTTATTGAAGCATGCTTATTGACAATAGCATCATTGTGTTTTATCTGTTATATCGCCGAGGCAGCACTCAGGATCGTGAGTTTTTCAAACGGGTCACTACGCAACGATATAAAATATTACATACGGTAATGTATTTATTCGACGCACAAAATTATATCCATAATAACTAAAAATGTATTGCAGTAATATTTGGAATCAAATTGATGTATTTGTGATAACAATATCAATTATTAATCTATTACTGAGCACTTCTTGCAAATATGATTCAAAGGACTATACTGAATGTAAATATCGGCATTGCATTAAATTCCTAATGTGTTTCAAATTACTCCGAGTGTTCTCTAAACTATATCCTATTTATATTGCAAAAATGGAACGTCGAAATGAATTGAAACTTATGAGAGCGTTTGGAGTTGCCCAGGTAATATTTCTAACACATGCTTAATAATGAAGCTAAACTAATTTACTAAAATATTATTAAGGGAATTGTGACAAGTTGTGATGAAGTAATCAACATGTTACCTACATTAACTGAACAATCCAATATACGAGCGGTGATCAAAATTAACTTGGAACAAATACGTGCAACTATCACCCAAAAAATGGGCATGCTGGAGAAAGCTCGACCCTCACTGACCACGACAATAAAAACAAAGCAATCGTTAAGATGCGTCTTAAAGCATTTGAATCATGGTATTAGAGAATTGCGTGCGTCAGGTTTAATAGACTCATTTGAGTTTCAAAAGTTAAACAGATCCGTCTCCTTGAAGACTAAGTTTTTGTCAAATGTGCAAATTTTGGAAGTAATTCCACCGACGTTGATCTTTCAAGAAATCGCATGGCTTTATAATGAGGACGAAGTTTTAGAGTACATTTATTCGAACGTAAAGAATCAAATATTCAATGCTGGCGATATTTTGTGTGAACCCGGCGATTATCTCGAAGGAATTTATATCATTGTAGCAGGTATCAATATTAAGAATTTTGGTCACCCGCCGTTTTATAATTTAATTTAATTAATTTTCTAATTTAGGCTACTTTAAAGTAACCTACTACCCAACTCCTAGACTGATTGAAAGACTTCAAGCAAATGGGGAGCTCCCATGTAAAGAATTCTTAGAGTATTTGAGATTTGACGAAGTGCACGAAGATTATCTCTCATGTGGTAACCGCATGGGTGAGCTTGCGTTGTTGACAAATCGTCCTCATCGCTGTTCGATTATTTCCGAAGCACCTAGCCAAGTATTCATTATTCCGAAAGAAGTTCTAGACCGTGCTAAGGATTTAAGTCCTGATCCTGCTATAGGGTATTCATAACTACTCTTTTTTTATTTGAGAAATTTTTATTTTTATTTTATATAACTATAGAGTTACTGCAAGAATATGGAAGTGTGTTGCATATAGTCTCAGTCGCCGTCTCCTTTTAACTACCACGGCATATCAATCGACGTCCAAACAAGAGGCTGATTATGCATTAATACGCTCCGTTATCCCAAATACTGATTATTACAATGTTATTAATTTGCCGCCGGTTGTCGAAGACGTGCTGCTTATAGAAGGAATAATCGTGGATTTTAACACCAGGGACATTTATATTGCTCCATGTCCACTACCTAGGTATACACAATCCCTTTTTTATAATAAATTAGGTAAATTATGTTATTTTTAGGCATGTGAGGAAATTACTCATGCCGAAAGGTGACTTAATAGCGCGAAAAGTGAGCACTAAGTTAATGTTCATCCCCGACAGCAATACTGATGAATATGAGATGATGTTAACTGTTCAAAAGGATTCAGAACTTGTAAAAACTCATTATAAAAACTTATTTCTTCTCTAATGTATACTTGTGTTTTAGATGGATGAACCTGAGTGCACACTTTTAACCGAACAGATGAACAGGCATAGGCGTTTTGAAAGTCATCTCTTTAGTTTCAATAAGCCAAAATCGCACAAAGTAATGTCTACCACCGGTGGAGTGTTTTACCATACAGAATAATAGATTGAAACAAATTTATAACGTACATTAGTTTTTTGTTATGTAAAAGTATTATGGTTTATATTACTTCAATAAAAAAAAAATGGTTGTTTGTAAAGTAGGTTTACGATCGAGATGTTTACGTGATAACGTCTTATTGGTGATATAAGTTTTGTTTGTTGCAATTGTTGTAACACTTCACTTGCACTTCACATTTTGTTTTACTGTTAAACATTCAACGAAAACTTAACCGCACGAAAAAATCTCCATTCGTTTGTATGCCGCTAGAGTGAGAGAGACGGAAGATCGGTCAACTCACTCGAACGCTATGCCTGCCTCCGCTCGTGTGGATTCCGCGTCACAAGTTTCATGGAATGACTGGCAGCGCTCGAGATGAGACGGGAGATCGGTCCGTCTCTCTCTCGTTATAACGAGAGGGGGGTATACCTGCGATCGGCCTCGAGAGGCCTCGTGACAGTTTCTGAACATGTCACCCGACTAAAACGATTTTAAAGACGTTATCACGTCAAAACCTAAGAGTATATAAGTTCTTTATGAGTAATTTTTTTCGGTAAAACTTTTAATTTGGATATTCTCTGATAAATTTAGGTATGCAATTGTTCGCCAATAGAGTAGAGTCATTTTAGGACAGATGAAAATGGTTTTATGTGTGTACCCAACACAGCAAAGAACGATCCCCAATTATGAAACCTGGATGACCCACCATCCAGGCAGTTAACAGCCAACAAAGATGTACCAGTTATGACGTCAAATTCGTTATTTAAGTCAGGCCGTCACGGGCTTTTACTCTATTATATTTATTGCATATAAACCGCAACGTAAACTGCATAATATCTGTTAATTAATCATAAAACTAGATGGTTTATTTGAATATTCTTTACTTTTATAAATTTATTTCAAGCGTAGAATAAGATAAAGTCAATGTAAATTGATAATAACTACTAATACAATTTTAGTTCATTTATTTTGAATTAATACAATCTAGGAACATCTACATTAAAAGCATTCAGTTATGTGTAAAAATCGCTATTCGTTTAGATAGGGTGGTGCATGCGCAGTTGCGTGTACGTGTGACCCACGGGCACTGCCATTTAATTGCGGGACCATACACTGACTCATAGCCAAATAATCACTCACTGCCTCATATGCACGCCACAATTTTTCATACACTTTGTATTTTGTTGAGGTATTCAAAAGTAACTTCAGATGGCGCAATAATGCATGTTTTAGCTAAAAATATTCCTGCGATTGAAACATGAGTGAAAATTGGCGTGCCCAGTCGTTGTGTAGCCGGCACGCAACTCTTACTTCGTGAGACAAGTAAAGTAAATTCGTTACATCGCGTTATATTTGCTGGAATTTAGTGTTAATAGACGGGTTTTAGTCGCTAAATATTAATCGCGGGTGTAATCTTTGGTATTCAATGTTTTGTGTGTTTATTATAGTTTCGCGTGTATCTGGGATCGGTTGCCGTCGGGCGGCTGTTCTACCTGGTAAATATTATTATTTAAATAATTATGGTAAATAAGACATTTTTTAAAGCAAAGTTTGGGTTCCTCCGGATCTCGGATTCATTTCAACATTGTCCGAAATTGTATAACTAATGTTTTGTTTCTTGTTTATTTCGGTATCAACTCGCACTTGATTTACGGTGTTCTATACACAGGTAAGTGAAAATTTTCATCGTTTGTAGTAGCTATTTTTCGATTTTACGGTTTTCCTGCAATTAGAGAATATCTTAAACTTCTTCTTGTGGAAACTTTTTTATTACGAATGTTCAGAGCGACGTGTAATTGAAAATACGTCGCTCTGAACACTTTATCATAGTAAAATTTTACTCTAGGACTCATAGTTTTTCCGTAATTTGATTAAATGTGAACTTACATTTCCCACAGAAAAATTAAATTAGTAAATTTAAAGTTTTTATTTCGGAAGTTGTGATAGCAGGTCTCCCTGAGCATTATATCTTAATAAAATTTTACAATTGGACTCCTGCAATTTGATCAAATGTGAGGTCACATTTTCCGCAGAAAATCTAAATTTGTAAATTTAAAGTTTTTATTACGGGTGTTGCCATAGAAAGTCCTCCTGAGTATTTTATTTTAGTAAAATTTTACTCTTAAACTAATAGTTTTATTAATTTTATTAATCTAAATTCCGGGACTACTCAAATCATAAAATCGAGTTATACGACTTATTTTTATATTTATCGACAAACGTGGCCACGAGAATAATTTTGAAGTGCTGTTATCAGCGTTTCGATATAAACAACTTTTTACGGCATGTGGCCCGCGCGCCGTCGTCACGCCGCATCAACTTATTGCATGCAGCATATTCTAGTTTAGTTTAAATAGCAGGTATCATGTCTATTGCAAATCGCATAGGTAGTCTTATCATGAAATGTTGCGACCTTGTTTGCTTTGCTGAAGCACATCTTGCAATGCGAGTATTTTAATACTTTGTCTTGTAGAGAATTTCTCGTAGATTAATATTTTTCAATCCGTTCATTTCTACCGCTTTTAGTTTACGAGATATTCGCAATTGAAAGAATTGAGTGAAAAAGAAAAATTGCACTTTTTAGCAATTTTAGTCATGTTTTTTTGCCCTTTTACGCCATGAAAATTTTTCACCATGAGAAATTACAATTACACCACTCGAATTTTAATTTTCGATAAGTTTTAATAATTGTAATTGTGGGACTACTATCCCTGGCACTTGCCTGAACAAAAAATCATAAAATAGAATTGTATTCTTTATTTCTATTGATGCGTAGGTTGTGCTTAGTTGTTGATGATGCTCGGAAGAGGTCGAGAAGTGTGTGCGGCGTCGAGCGATGTTGATGGTAAAGAGGCCGAGTCGCTCAGCATCCCTTGCTGAGCACCCTCAGCGCGGTCTGGTCGGCGGTGTTCGTGGCTCGTCGGCTTGACATGCGGCCTCTTCCGATGGGGGTTGTAGGTCGCGGATGTTGTGGGCGTTCCGGACTTCGCCGCAAGTGGGCGCCGGAGTCAAGGGTGGCTTCACTATATTTCTCAGCAATCGTTGGCATTCGATACGAGAATTGTGTTTGTTGTGATCACAATTTACATTTTCATATCGAATGCCCGTGTGTCGTCGTTGCCTTCCCCTCACGCCTCACATTGTCACGTCCTTAGTTTAGTTGTGATCGCAGGTAACATGCCTGTTGCAATTCATGCACAAGGTCGTGCGTCACCTGCTGGGTTCATGCTGCACGCACATTGTCTTATTGGGAACTGTCGCATCGTTGCCTGCGCTATCGATGGTTTGCAGCCAGTTTCGTGCCGGTCGCTGGTGTATTTAGACGTATTTCGCGCGATTCGTATCGTTTTATCGGACTCTTATTTTCTAAATTTGAATTGTATTCGGTCATCAATTGACTATTTAGTTGTAACATGCATCTACAGTGTTTTGTTAATGATTAATCTGTGCGTTTAATATCCATAATTTTTATATGTTTGCGTTTGATATCTAGGGTAAAAGAGGGTAATGGGGGTCACTTAAGGGAGAACTCAAATATAATTTAAATTATAAACAAAACACTTATTGCAATCGCTTATAAGCATTGTTTACTTAAATGCCTATTATTTGAAATAATTTTCAGTCACTTTGACAATCAATTTTTGAAATTATTAAAGTTTAAAAAAAAAACAGATTTGACTCCCATTACGTTTAATATCCATAATTTTTATATGTTTGCGTTTAATATCTACAATCCAAATGCATATTGTTGCCATGATGTTTCCCGTTATTAGGAGGTCCCTCCGTACTAGAGCACTGCATTGGTAAGTTTTTATTAAGTTATATTATTCGGTGAAATGTTTTATGACCTGTGTGTTGCAATAGCTCGCGAATTAAAGGTGCCTTGTTTATTTTAATTGTGGGTTATATAGAAAACGAAGGAAACAACAAAGTTTGCCCCTTTTTCGCGTTTGTCAAAACACACGGTGGAAAATAGGTCATATCTCGGAAAACCCTTTATCATATTTTTTATTTTATAATTGGACAAGAGTGCATTCTTAAGATGCACCCCTGAACCACTGCAAAATTTGGTCGTAATTGCCTTAAAATGGCTTCTAAAGATTGCCTTTTTTGGCATTTTTCAAAACACGCGGTGGGAAACAGACCATATCTCGAGAACCCGTTATTATGTTTTTGTTATTTTTCTATTTTATGATAGGGCAAGAGTGCATTTTAAAAATGCACCTTTGAACCCTCGCGAAGTTCCGTCGTAACTGCCTTAAAATAGCCTCTAAAGTTTGCCCTTTTCTTGCATTTTTCAAAGCACGTGGTGGAAAACAGGCCATATCTCGAGAACCCTTTGTCATATTTTAATATTTTCTTTATTTTATGATACGGCAAGAGTGCATTTTTAAAATGTACCCCTCAATTCCCGCAAAATTTGATCGTAACTGCCTCAAAATGGTCGCTAAAGTTACGCCTTTTCTTGCAATATTCAAAACACGCGGTGGAAAACAGGCCATATCTCGGGAACCCTTTGTCATATTTAAGTTATTTCTCGATTTTATTATAGGACAAGAGTGCATTTTTAAAATATACCCTGAAGCTCTGCCTAAGTCGCTCGTAACTGCCTCAAAATGGCCGCCAAAATTTGAACTTGTCGTGCATTTATCATAACACGCCGTGGAAAGCAGACCATCTCTCGGAACATTTCATTATTTTTTCATTTCTGTGGATTCTGTTAGCGCAAGAATTCTTCGTGAAGATACAGTTTCTTCACTGCGTTATACCCTCAGAATATGTTTAGTCTATTACTGATTAGTCGTAGGTACGGAGCATGTAACTTAAGTAACTATCGATATGTTTATATTTATTAAGTGATTATAATTGCCAGGACCGTGTGACCGATGCCTTGCCCTGTTCAATGTGTATAGTTCAACATGTATATACAATACCTATGGTATTTTCTTAATAGATCCAAGCGATTTTCGCCGTTTGTTTTGCAATTTTTAATGCGATTTTATATGCGGAATTTCATAATTGTTTAAGCGATGTTCCAACTCTCGTTCTCTTCTCTGTTTTAGTACTTCCTTTCGAGTTCCAACGGCCGAGTCACGAGATAAATTAGAATGCGAATTTGATTCGCTTAGTCGGTTGACTGCCAATTTAAAATAAAATAAATAATGGCAGCACCCCTTTCCACACTTCCCCTCGATAATGTAATTTATTTTGCGGATTTTTCTCAGCTTCAACACTAGTCTTAGTGTTGCAACGCGTGAAATACTTGTATGGTATCATTAGGTGTTTGTGTTGTACTTATGCACACGTCCTCGTAATACGTATGTCACGTTTTAGTCATTGCACGCGAACGGGGCGTCACACAAACTAGAGCGCGTCGTTATTAGATGTTGTCTAGCTTTAACTCGCGAAGAGGACGTCTCTAGAGGTGTTAAATTAAATTCTCCGTGGGGTTAAATTAATTTGTTGCGGGAGTGACGCATTGGTAAATTCGAAAATTGGGGTATTAAGTGGGATTTTCACATGCAGGGTGAAATTGTTAGAGTTTTTTCGGTATAGCTCGAGAGAGAGGCGGCTTAGAAATTTCCGCGCGATCTTTAGAGATGTTAAATTAAAGTCTCCGTCGGATAGTGTTGTTTTATGCTGGAATTCGACCTGCAACACGGGAAAATTTGCATAAAAGGGTGATTTTTTTACCCTTTCTCGTGAAATATTTCTATTTTTGCAAAAATGTCATTTTTGTGCTTCTCTGTACTGATTTTTGGTAGTTTTAGATGTCTAGCGGGCAAATGAAATGTCCCAGGTCAACGATTCTTCCATCAGATTGTAAGTATTGAATTTGTTTATCATTTTCATAATTAATTAGTGTGATTAGCACAACGGAAACATGCAAAAATGTCATTTTTGTGCTTTGATGTGCTAATTTCTTGTGGTTTTATGTGTCTAGCGGGCGAATGAAATGTCCTAGGGCAACGATTATTTCATCATATTGTAAGTACTAAATTTGTTCATCATTTTCATAATTAATTTGTGTGATTAGCGCACGGGAAATATGCAAAAATGTCATTTTTGTGCTTCGATGTGCTAATTTTTGGTTGTTTTAGGTGTCTAGCGGGCAAATTAAATGTCCTAGGACAACGATTCTTTCATCAGATTGTAAGTATTGAATCTGTTCATCATTTTCATAATTAATTTGCACACTGGAAACATGCAAAAAATGTCATTTTTGTGCTTCGATGTGCTAATTTCTTGTTGTTTTGGGTGTCCATCAGGCGTATGAAATGTCCTAGGACAACAATTCTTTCATCATATTGTAAGTATTGAATTTATTTATCATTTTCATAATTAGTTTGTGTGATTAGCACACGGGAAACATGAAAAAATGCAATTTTTGTGCTTCGATGTGCTAATTTTTGGTTGTTTTAGGTGTCTAGAGGGCAAAGGAAATGTCCTAGGGCAACGATTATTTCATCATATTGTAAGTATTGAATTTGTTCATCATTTTCATAATTAATTTGTGTGATTAGCGCACGGGAAATATGCAAAAATGTCATTTTTGTGCTTCGATGTGCTAATTTTTGGTTGTTTTAGGTGCCTAGCGGGCAAACTAAATGTCCTAGGACAACGATTATTTCATCATATTGAAAGTATTGAATTTATTTATCATTTTCATAATTAATTTGTGTGATTAGCGCCGGGAAACATGCCAAAATGTAATTTTTGTTCTTCGATGTGCTAATTTTTGGTTGTTTTAGGTGTTTAGTGGGCGAACAAAATATCCTGGGATAATGATTCATTCATCAGATTGTAAGTATTGAATTTGTTTATGATTTTCATAATTAGTTTCTGTGATTAGCACACGGGAAACATGCAAAAATGTTATTTTTGCGTTTTGATGTGCTAATATTTGGTTGTTTTAGGTGTCTAGCGGGCGAACGAAATATCCTAGGACAGCCATTCTTTCATCAGATTGTAAGTATTGAATTTGTTTATGATTTTCATAATTAGTTTGTGTGATTAGCACACGGGAAACATGCAAAAATGCACAATTTTTGTGCTTCCAAGTGCTAATTTTTGATTGTTTTAGGTGTCTAGCGGGCGAATGAAATATTTTAGGACAGCGCTTCTTTCATCAGATTGTAAGTATTGAATTTGTTTATGATTTTCATAATTAGTTTGTGTGATTAGCACACGGGAAACATACAAAAATGCACAATTTTTGTGCTTCCAAGTGCTAATTTTTGATTGTTTTAGGTGTCTAGCGGGCGAATGAAATATTTTAGGACAGCGCTTCTTTCATCAGATTGTTAGTATTGAATTTGTTTATCCTTTTCATAATTAATGTGTGTGATTAGCACACGGGAAACATGCAAAAATGTCATTTTTGTGCTTTGAGGTACTAAGTTTTGGTTGTTTTAGGTGTCTAGCAGGTGAATGAAATGTCTTAGTACAACGATTCTTTCATCAGATTGTAAGTATTGAATTTGTTTATGATTTTCATAATTAGTTTGTGTGATTAGCACACGGGAAACATACAAAAATGCACAATTTTTGTGCTTCCAAGTGCTAATTTTTGATTGTTTTAGGTGTCTAGCGGGCGAATGAAATATTTTAGGACAGCGCTTCTTTCATCAGATTGTTAGTATTGAATTTGTTTATCCTTTTCATAATTAATTTGTCTGATTAGCACACGGGAAATATGCAAAAATGTCATTTTTCTGTTTCGATGTGCTAATATTTGGTTGTTTTAGGTGTCTACCGGGCGAACGAAATATCCTAGCGATTCTCTCACCAAATTGTAAGTGTTAAAATTCTTTTATTATTCAAAATTTTTTGTTAAAATTTTTTTGGTCGTAAAACTGGGGCGGACTTTTGTAATTAAAAATTTTTGGTCGAATTTTTTAATAAAATTTTTTTCCATTGAATTTTTTGGTTAAATTTTTTTCGGTCGAACAGCAGGATCGAATTTTTTTTACATGAAAATTTTTCGGTCAAAGAACAGGGTCAAACTATTTTGTTAAAATTATTTTTGGTCAAAGAACAGAGTCGAATTTTTTAACGATTGTGTCAAGAACAAAAAGGTCTACGAAAAACGAATGCATTTTTCTCTAAAATTGTTTATATGGTTGAAACGGTTAATGTTATCAAAAAAAGTTACAATAATAATCGATGTAGGATTAAATTATCTGTCAGGTTTCCGATTTAAAATATAATCGAAATTAATAGTTCCATGCATAGTGCGAGTACAGTTCTATTCATGATCTGCACTACCATATTGAAAGTGTCAGTGTTTACAAACAAACAGGTTTTCTTATGTCGTGCAATTTTTGTGCGATAGCCACGCGGTTGGCTTGTGTATCACGTTAGTCTCATTTTTGTCGTTAGGTGATCTGCATGCACATTTTCTTCCTTATTCATTCATTCATTATTCATTATTCTTGAGTTGCTAAATGTTTCTTCGATTGTGCGCGATTGATGTGCGGGGTTCGTACCACGCGGATTGTACATATTCAGAGGTAAAACGTGAGTGATGTTCCGTCGGCCGTCTTATTTTTTATTTTTTGTATTATACGCGTATTTCATCGGTTTTACAATGTGCATAATTAAGGTCCATACAACTTATTGGATATAGCAAAACATAAATTTATTTTGCATCAAGGCATGTTCTCGCACTTTTTCAGCCATTTGAAAATCAAATCCATTATTGACTTTACTTGTTCGCGCTTTTCTAATTGTTTTACATGATTCAAAATAAAATTCTGATTTGTGCTTTAATTTTTAAATTTTGTTTTTGATTCCGAAAGTAAATTAAATTCTGAATGCAGTAACGCAATTATAGATTAAGGCCCTATTGACATGTAAAAACCAATTTTTGTATTAAACATGTAAAATGATACACCAATACATAAATAATACATGTATACAATACTACAATCATCTACCTGGTGTCCCCATCTAGATGTTAACGTCTGCCGACAATTCTCTTTCCTGCTTAGTCGGACGTGCGCGGTGGTGTCGTGAGCACGTGTTTTGTTCGTCAGTCTGTTTTCGTAGCTATTAATCGCGTTTCTGGTGATTTTCATTTAGTAGTGGCATGAACGACAATGTATTTCAGCGAGCGCGGCTGAACGTTAATGAATTATTGCTCGTGATACCTGCTATTGAGTGACTTTATCCGAACATTTGTGTCTACTGTCGAATACCGCCCGGTTGTTGGCTTGGCTTCTCATTTGTGGTGTTCCGAACTCAGGTTGAAGGATTTTATGATGCAATTTAGAACATATTCATTAAATTTTATATTAATTTGGTGTGTTATAATGTGTGGTGAAACTATTTTCTGTAAACTAAACATGTTTGGTCCATGAGGCATTTTCCGTATCTTTCTAATGCTACCAAAATATTACTACAGTGAGTAGTAACATCAATTCTACTAACAATTCTACTTTGTGTGTAACGTTTGATAACAGAGCGTTGTGGCTCGATGGTACGTAGGATATACCTTGGATCGTACGTACGTTCGTTTTATTAAAAAGAAAAAGAATGTTTTGTTAAATATAATTAATAAAACTCAATTAAAAATTGATATCTTATTCCTACTTCTTTGTAATATCCTCTTTGTCGTTTTCAGTATATGCGTCTTAAATCATATTTTATATGAAGCTTACGTGAGTGCAACATAGCCAATTCATGTTTTGTTGTTTTTAAAAAGTTGAATAAAGTAGAAACATAAATAGAAGAATTAAATATTAACGATAAAAACCCTCGGTGGTCGGGTGGAGACGTGCACCTGCTGGCATGCTAGCAGACACGGATCGAATCTCAGGTATCGAAGGCATTTTTCTCAAATATAAAAATATCAGGTGTAATTTGGGTTGCATATATGAATTGCAATGAAATATAAGAGAAATTGAAATACAAGTGAAGGCAATAAGAGAAGTAAGAAGTAAGTGGAGAAACGAGTACAGAGAAATAGGAGAAGGAGTAGTAAAGAATAGGAGAAGGTAGAAGGAAGAGAACAGAGAGTAGAGAAGAGGAGGAGATAGAAGAAAGAGAACAGGGGAGGATCAGATTTTTAAAATTTTTGGCACGTGTCGTTATAAGACAGTCTACGGTCGGCCCACTGCTTCGATGTGTCCATTGCTCCCGGCCCATCCTACAGCTACGATGTCTCTACGCTTCATCCCCAGGATTCTCAGGCATATCAACAATTTTTATGGTGGGGGATCTCCCCCAGAGAGAAGGAACTCCTTATAAGAACAATCCTTATAAGGTCTTGTTCAAATATTTCTATGTTTTAAGTCGTATCAAGAGAGGTGACACTTAAAAATATTCTTACACGTTCTGACCTGTAGCTGAAATGAAAGATAGAGTACACAAATCATACAGATAACCTTAACAATTTTTATACAGGGGATCATCCCTTGAGAGAGGGAACTCTTCCTGAAATTATAGAAGGGGTACATTCAAAGCATAAGGCATAATATTTCTTAACATTTCTTTATTAGAATATTCATATAATGCAAAACTAGAATACAAAATGGAACAGGGCTTGTCACCAGCATACATCGAAATATGCAGACAAATACTTAAGAAAAAGAAAGTCACAAAGGATAACACAAAACATTAACATACGAAATATAATTTTCGCGACAATCACGGAAACCCATTATACAGGGTGTTTCAAAAAGAAAATACTAACATTTTAAAAGAACATGCAAAGTTCACGAAGAAAAACATATCAAAACCACTTTTTCCGTGACATCAGAAGAAAATAATGTACAGGGTGTCACAAAAAGAAAATAATAACAGTTTCTGAGAAAATGCAAAGTTCAAGCAGGATAACTTATATTTAGACTAGTTTTCACAAGATATCACAGGAAATTAAAATACAGGGTGTTGCAGATAGAAAATAAATAGAAACGAAAGTCATAAAAGACTGTTATTGTGTTGTAAAGGGAAAATGCCAATATTTTAAAGTAAAATCCAAAATTCAAATAGGATAAAATATATATTCCCCCTATTAAAATGGTATTTCAAACCTGTCACGAGAAATTACCATACAGAGTGTTATAAGTAGAAAATCATATGGTAAAACAGAAATACGTCCAAAAACAAATACATATGGTCCATTTTCAGCACTTGATAAAGAATATGTATATACATATACCGGGTGATACATAAAGAAAAATTAAGATTGAAGTAGAAAAAGAGCTGGAAACAATTGACAACGCGACATAAGAAGAAGACAGTTTGCACGGGAAATCAAAGAAGAGTGAAAGAAAGAGTGACACAGTAAAAATCAGAACATTTAAGATGAAACCGTATTTCCTCTGTATACCAAAAAAATCTGATGGATTAGATAGTACAAAAGTAAACACAAAGCCGAATTTGATTTCAAATCATCAAAAACAACAGGCGACCGAGCCGAAAATTAATTGTAATTCGAATATCAAACAAAAGCGAAACAATGTTTCAATAAGTAATGCTAATCAACGGTATTGAAACATAAACAAAAATTATTGGCGTGCGTAAAGACCACGCGGTTGAAGTAAAAACAAGTAGAGTCCACAACGGATTTCCTATTTTATATGGGTGAAGTACTCGTAATACGAGAACAAACCTGCAAAAGTACATTTAGGCCTTCGTGATTTCCAATAAGTTATCAAATAAGGACCTTAATTGTAGCAACGATAAAACGTATAATTCTAAAAGCGTATCCGACGGCCATCGAAAAATCACACGATTTACCTCTCCGTATGTTCAATCCGCGACTAACGTGGTACGCAAGCCAACCGCGTGGTGACCGCATCTTAAAAATGACTCTTGCCCTATCATAAAATAAAAAGAAAACTAAAACATAAAAGAAGGTTACCAAAATATGGCCTGTTCACCACCGCGTGTTTTGAAAAATGCCAGAAAAATATAGTAAAATATAGTAAAAGGTTCAAGAGATATAGCCAGTTTTCCAACCTCGTTTTTTGAAAAATGCAAGAAAAGGGCAAACTTTGGCCGCTATTTTGATGCAATTACGACCGAATTTGGGGGTTCACAGGTGCATTTTAAAAATACAATGCACAAAAATGACATTTTTTGCATGTTTCCAGTGTGCAAATCACACAAATTAATTATGAAAATGAAG